AGCAGTAAGTCATGAAGCAAGAGAAAGAATATAGGAGCTTTAAGATGTCATTCACATAAGGACTTCTAAGGCGACTTCTGCCCAGCTGCAAGGAGGCATAAAGGGTGCGAAACACAACAAAAACCTACATACAAGGAAGCTGTGAAGTGGGAGAGATGGAAACTGTAAGTGTAAAGTCTTCCTGTGGCTTGACCAAGCGTCATTGGCAATTACTAATGTTGATTTGGAGATAGTGACTTCCTTTGTTTGTACAGCATTTAAATATAAAAGGGTGTGGGGGAAAAGGCAGGCGTGTGAGGCCAAATTGATAACTCTTTGAAAGCACTAGCACAGGCATGATGGGCCGAATGGGTTTTTCTTCTGTACTTTGGTTCTATGTTATCGAGTTGCCATGACTTCCGGTCGAGGCTCACGATGATCTCCACAGTTTTTTCGGTGGTGATGTCCTACAGACTAGTTATTTATACTGAAGTCTTGTCATTCTGTTCAGGTCGACATTAAGATCCAATGACCCCATGGCATAAGTTACAAACAGAAGGGAGTTTGGGCAAATTTCCTTACTCCACACCGCCTCTGTTTACCTAGCGCTAAGTAGGATCCCGGTATTAGTCGTTTGGCGGATCGCTTTTCTGGGAGTAATAATTCCTTCAAAAAAAATTGCTCACTCAATCCATGACTGTTTGTGGGACACTGCTGTGCGCAATTAGCAGCCGGATTTCGCCCACAAAATTTACAGTCTTTACAGTATATTCTGTGAGACGTCTTGAAGACATGATATATGAAATGCAAGGATTATTGTTATTATAGTTTCTCCTCATATCCTAACCAGCAATTCTCCAGATTAATGTCAAACCCATTTAAAATCTTTTTAATTTATTTAATCTTTACTGTCTCACTCATTAAAAGCAAGTCTGAAGTCAATCCAGAAATTGAAACCTCTCTATATATATGTTTGTGTGTGTGCACGTAGAAATAGAATAAACTGAAATAAACTGAAGTATTTATACAAAATGCTTGGGTTTGGAGATGAACATCTATTTAAAAGATTGTTCGATTGAAGTGTTTTTTCTCTATAAGGTTTCAGAGATGATGTTAACACATTAAAAACAAAATTTGGCCAGGCAAATAATATTACATGATGTTTGCTGCCCCCATGTGGAATGGATGGCCATTTTCTTCTCCATCATACAGTATTTAGAAATGATCCAGTTTAGCAAGGTGTGTATCCGTGCTATTGTAGCAGGTTCGGTCCTACAACTAAATTTGTGGATTACTTTAGATGGGGACAGAATTGTACTACATCTTGTAAATCAAGAGAAGTGAAGCTTAGTTTCCATCTGGGCCTGGGGAAATCTACGTCCTTCTAACACGCAAGATGCCACATAAATGTAATTTATTGTTGCTAAATCTCCAACAATGTATCTCTGGAATTTCATGTGTAGGTGGGGTGCATGGAATTCGCAGTTTGGTTTGGATACTCTTTAGCATGGGAATGGGTTTTTCCACGTGTCAGACACCCGGCTGACCAAAACAAAAAGTGAATTCACAGTTAAACAGTGTGAATCCAATCTTTTTTTGTTAACATGGACCAATATTTGGAGGGAAAAAAAATCAATGATCTAGGAATAATTGGATGCTGTCTAGCTCTTCATTTTTCTTCCATTTGAGAGTCCAATAACTTTCCTATTCTAAAATCATTAATTCCTGATTTTCAAAACCTGGATTGTGTTCCCCGGTTCTCTTTTGTCATTGTAGTGCTAACAAGTGTAATTTCTCTAATTCTTATTCACAACACAAAACCTGGAAATAATCCTCTTGCTTTCCTGGCCTCCAGAAGCTCACTCACACAGTACGGTTCTGTTGTCCGTCTGCCATCATCTAGTAACTCAACCAAGTAGCCAGGTGTGAGTTGAGGTAATAAATGCCAGCAGTCATTGTGACCAAATTCTGTTTTAACCCACTCGCCTCGCAAGCAAGAGGTCCCGGGTTTGTTTCCTGGGCAGGGCTCAACCTGAGGCAAGTTTCCTCCTCCATAGGCCTCTGTTTACCTAACAGTAAGTAGGAACCCAGTTGATAATCCATTGACCAATTGCTTTTCCGGGTGTAATAATCCATTCAAAAATATTGTAGTCACTCCATCCACGAGTGTTTGTGGAACACTGTTGTGCGCAATGACTGCTCCATTTTGCCCACAAAATACACAGTCACTACACTCTATAGTACACTTCAAAGCATTCAAGAGCAGAGAACCCAGGCTGAGTTTCTTCCTTCCTAAATCACATTCACTGTTGCTATTTGTAGTATCTCTATTAGTGTCCAATATCAGATTACCTAACTCACCATAGACTTGGCATTGAGCTCAGGGTCTTGCTTAGTTTCCACATTTTACCAAAAGACATATTAGGGGAAACAAACTCAAAATCATTTTGTTTCTTTCTTTGTGTTCTTCATAACGCCTTTGTTTCCTGGATTGGGCAATGTTACTGGGAATTTGTCATTAAATGTAGCAATCCAAATACTGCAGATTCCTTGTGTTTGGGGGTTTCCATGCCACTATCAATTCAACGCTATCAGACTTATTCAGAGGAGTCATTTTTTTTTCTACTGAAGACCTGTCTGGCTGTTCAAGGCCAATGGCACTATTCACAAAGAGAAGGGAGTTTTCCCTGTTACTGTATCCTAACCGGCAATTCTCCTAATTAATTGGTCATTCGCCGCTTGACTGTTCAAAGGACTTTGCTGCACACAAAAATGACTACTGCGTTTACTTGCAAACATCAATCACGACAGGTGACAGAAATGACTGTGAAATACTTTGAGATGTTTCAAGTTATAGTCACTATAAAATGCAACTTTTTTACTCTCAGAGTCCTACTCTTTTGAAAGGAATAACTCAAGCCACATCAGTTACACTTGCCCTCAAATTACAGCACTGGAGTTATAGCCAGGCTACAGCTGCTTCCCACCGGTAGATAAAAACTCTAGCCGTTTATTGTATTGCATGTTTCTCTATCATCATTTAGTTGCAATAATTAATCAAAGGGAAGGTTTTTCCATTTCCTTTTTATTGTGTCCTGGCTTGTTAACGTCATGTTCATTCCATTTGCATCTCTCTACCTTCGCAGTCTAACTTAAATATTGCTCAATTACTTTCCCCCTCATATTCTGACTCAAAGTCCTCCCATATTGAATGAAGTGACGTCGAGCCTTCCTCGAGAACTCAAAGCTGCCTCCCAAATCCTAGGTTATTGATGAATCCTCTTTAATTACATCCTCTTTAATTACATATAAAGATCAATTATTCTACTCAGTGTTTTTGATTCAAATCACTAAAAGGACCTCAGATATGACTGGAATTGGAATTATGCTAATAACATCTTTAATTTTCTCTTCAATTCATCTCAACTGTCCACCATTGAGATGTATTGTACAAAACTTTATAACATCATGCCTCAGTAAGCAAAACATGACATGGTTTCAATAAGATAAACTTCAGGGATAGTTGAATCACTGATCAATACATTGGTTTGTTGATTGGTTTGTTGACATTGGATAGATCTAAATCCAAAGCTGAAGGGTGGCTCTCAAAAGTTAAATGTATAACAAGAGGACTAGACATCGTGACAATGATTTTATGAGGAGCAACCATTATAGTCTTAAACTGGACTGAATTTCAATCAAGACACATTACGGCTCTGATGACAGAGAAAGACACGAATGAACATGTGGGTCACTGTGGGCACTGAATCAATGGAACAATTGAACACCAATTGCCAATTCTCCCTCCCTTTGACAAATTATGGAAACAATTGGGCAATCACTGTGGAAATATAATGCTTGACATGCGGCCAAGCAAGTTCCTTGCTTGTTTAGCTAAGATCAGTGAAGCTAAGGGCATTAAAACTCAACTGAAAAAATGTCCGACTTGATCTCTGTTTTCTAACGCAGAACCCACCTTCCTAAGTATTTGTGTACTATTCTAAAGTTGGAAGTTCATGAAATTTTACAAAGTTGGCAGCCTCCACCCCCCGGAAATTCTAGCCAAGTTGTAGATTTGACATTTGTCTTCCGTCTCATGGCATTTGTGTGTTGTTCAGCAGGATAACAGCTGTACTGAACCTCCAGAGTAATTTGCTATCCTACTCCCATCATTCGAAAGCTACAATTCACTTGAAGACTAATGTATGGCACGGCTTCAGGATGTTCGGTATGAGAACACAGTCAGAAAGGGCAGAAATCCACCTCCTACATGTTCAAATAATTCAGTCAATACAGTAATAACACAACTTGTATTTATATAGCCGAGCCGGGGAAGAGGGCCTGCTGACATGAAAGACACTATACAAATGTAATTTTATATTGTATTATGTATTGTAGGTACGGTCAAAAAGGAAGGTCTTCAGGCGTGATCTGAAGATGGAGAAGGAGGAGGCAAGGCGGAGCAATAGAGGAAGAGTGTCCCAGAGTTTCAGAGCATAGTGATTGAAAGCACGGCAACCAAAAGTATAACAGAGGGCACAAGAGACAAGTAAGTGGCCGCACGTAAATACACGTTAATACCTACAAATGAGACCCTAATTTTCCACCAAGGGATTTTTCAATGCAATGCTAGAAATATTATATAACCAAAATACTGCAGGTGTTGAACTTTAAGAATCAGGTTGTAACAAGTATCTAATCACTTCAATAAACACCAGTTATTCCAAATTTTATTTTTCTCTCTCTCCAGGAGGTGCAAGTACTCATGTTGAAGTACAGTTCCAGACACTGGCTGCCCTCAGGTATAAAATCCCATGTATCTAATAGGGACATCACACCTAAAGGAGATCATGCAAAGCCCAATATCCACAAACAGCAATCAAGAGTTGGAAGCCTAGTTAACATTTCCCATCTCTAGCCCAGCAATGCTAAATAAATTCAACATTCCTGGTGTCACAAACAGAACTCATATCATTGCTGATGAGATATTTTGACAAGCAGACATAAAAACACCATGATCATTATAACTCAAGTGAAAAACTTTTAATTTTACTGAACATGGAAGCACAATACCAACCAAAAATAAGACTTTTGCATCTGATGACTTTTTCTGCTCTTCACTGTTTTCTTGCAATTTTGAAACTCACGCTTTCAGATACCAAGACAGGCGAGCAGGTTTACCTTTTAGAAAGTAAAATGTCCAGCATTCCTTCTCGAAACAGAAAGAATAAACGGAAGATAGACCATCAAATTAACACTGCACCATTTGGTTTGACAAAAATACATTGGCGCACTGTTAACAGACCGTTAATAGTTGATCTGTATGTGGTCCGGATCGTACTCCATAAACAACTGTAAAATGGTGTTACCTTTGAACTGATAATGGCACGGGAGTAAATTATACCATTCTGTGGTTAGTCTAGATACAAGAATTTGAAGTGAGAAGTCAGTCAGAGTACGTTACAATGTTTAGAAAAACAATAAGCGAGAAGATTGCCATGTCGTTCTGCTCCATAGTCATATAAATATTCTTTTCTAAGTTATTGATCAGTAAACATTTTTCTTATGGTATAGACGTTACTGATTAGAAAATCTCAAGTTTAGTATTCTCCAGCTAAAACTTTCTGCAAAACTGAAGACCTCGTTCACTGTAACAAGGACATCCCATTCACTTTTCAGCAGCTTCCTTAAAAACCATAGATCTTCATGTTATTGAAGCAGTACTTTGCAAATGTGTCAATGTTGTTCTTGTACATAACAATTAGAAAATAGACCACTTCAATTGATTATTATGCCCTTAAATTCTTCACTAAAAATACAAGTCACAAAAGTTTCCATGAAATTTCTTTGGATCATTGTAGGTGTAGTCGCTAAGTGGGTCAGTGCTTTAAAAGCACGAACTTCATTGTAGACTAGCTTTAGTGTGTCTCTTCAGAGCTATTATTTTGTCATTTCAGGCTTTGCAGGAACAAATGTTAACATGAAGCCTTTCAGCACAAACCTGACTTCAGAAGGTCACTTTAAACACACAAAAAATGTTTTGAGGCATATCACATGTACAAAAAACTGCAAGCGACAAAGTCCTTTTTCTTTTTCACTCCTCTCGACCTACCTGTGAACAAACAGGTTCAATATTCGCTTCCCCCTCTAGCTCTAATGACGGCTGGAGGCTAAACCCTTCACTTTTGACAGTTTTTTGGTGGGAGGTCTCTGTTCGCCAAGCTGTGGCGTGTCACGGTCCATGGGATGCTGATCAGCGTCTTGGGACGAGGAGGAAGCTGTCGCTTTCAATGTCTTCTTTATATTTGCCACCTTAGAATACAAAGACAACCAAGATTAACACTTTCTAATAGTTCAAGGTCAAAAATGTGCAAAATGACATTTAGGCTACTTTGGATCTCACACATCAATATAATGAGACTTTTTAACAGCAGAATGATCAAGTGTGTTTTTAATTGTGAGGATATAAATGAATCTTTTTGTAATACAGGTTAAAGTCTGCAAAGTCAAGACGTTACTGAGGTGACACATTTGCCACCAAATTATTTAATTTGAATGTGATGTATAGTATTGTTTGCAAGTTTTCTCTAGGACCTGATTACCCTCTTTTAAACAGCATTGTGGAGTCATGCAAGTGCACTTTCATTCCATCTAAAACTTTTCACCGTTATTTTCCTAAACAGCTGGTGTTTTTTTGTTGTCAGTGGCAACAAAAACTTTAATTTCAGACAATTTACTATAATTTGGGTGCTGCTCTAGGCAGAATAACAGAGCACCACATGCTCAGAAGCATAAAGTGAGAGAAGAATGTAGTTCTAGTGGTGCTCTGCTTGGCTCCCGATCTGAGGGCTGCATTAAATAGCAGAATCTTTAGGGATGGGGCAAAAGTAAATCAAGGAGACGTCACCAGCAGACAAGCTCCAATATCACATAGTAATATTGATAGGCTGGCTACTGACAATACAAAAATCAAACTAAATGTTGTAATTGTATCTGACCTGTATAAACTTTATTCTGTAAAGTAGATTCATGACAATTTAGAAGTCACAAAACCAAAGTTTAAAACTACCAGCATATAGAATAAATAACATTTGATACACTTTATCTTTATTACTTAATATTCATTTGTGCTGTATTGCTGTTAATCGATAGCTTTTAGATTCAGTTGTATTGTCAACTGAATGTCAATTAAACTTCAAAGGGCTTCAATACTGACATCTCTTAAATCAGTTACAAATAATTATATTTTAGTTTCTAGGGCAAGGTTCAGTATTTTTGATCTCAACAGTAAAACAGTGTTGAACTAATAATTCAAGATGCTTCAATTGGCTTAATTTTAAACTGTATTTAAACTCAGTTTCCTGCCAAACTCACCTATTCTGGTTTACTAAATGCACATTACCTACACTTACATTCACCCAGTTTTAGTTAATTTCACATCTACAAATAAAAAAGTTAACATACATTTATTCCGTCACTGTAACACATCAGGAAACCCGCAATTCAAGCAGAAGTTCTTTCCAATGCAAGGAAACAGTAGCAATGACTGGGATTCAGATAAAAGCCAGTTGAGGATAACTGGAGTATTAGTAGAGGTAAAAGGGAAACAGAAGGACAGCCTGAAGATAGCAGCAAGAAATACATGGATAGAATTTTTAAAAAAGTTTTGTAAGTTGTCAACAACATGCTACATGAATCATTTAAGGAATACGTGGGGTGGAAATATTATTGAGGATTATGAAATGGCAGATGCTTTAAAGAAAATTTTCACCTCAGTCTTCACAAATGAAAACTCTGGGCTGGATCCAGTAATTTTGGCTCACGTATCTATAACATATTGAAGAGAAGATTGAGGGAGACGGAGACATAAGCCAGACCTTTAAGATGCTGAGGGTCATGGATAATGATGTAATGGATTATTGCATTGGACTAGACTTAAAAGACTGAACAGAGAATTAGAGGACACAACCGCAAGATTTGGATATAGATTAGAATAATTTCTTCTTCCCCCCCACCCCACCCCCATGCTAAGGTGAGTAGATATACGTAGTAGAAACAGCTGATCAACTTTAATAAAAAGAGCTGGACAAATATCTTTCTGGGACAAAGATAGCTGGAATAACAATAGACAGATGGTCAAATACTCAATGGAACATGCTTCCTGCTCTACTGGGATCGGGGAAATTAAGCTGTAGAAAGCAATTGACCAAGTTTGAATAGTGGATTAAATAAGTGTATAGATAGAGGTTACAATAGGAACATTATACATAGTCCACGGAAGTAGCAGACTTAGTAGGAAAGGTACTTTTTTATTCTAGACTTTCTTATACTTTTAACCTCACCTCAGTTTCCATCTGTTGTTGAGTTTTTATGTTGCTCTCCTTGTACTGATTCACTCGAAGAACTTGTTGTTCAATCCCTAACAGAACCACTTGGCAACAATCACACCTGTTAAGGAACAGGAGAATTTAGTCAGTACGTTAGACGCCATCCGGGGTGAAGGGCACTATATAAATGCAAGTTCTTGTTGTTAATTCCATTAAAATATAAGGAGGCAATAAATTGGAAAGTAAGGCAATCAAAATAACTAACGTAAAAATTCCCATAATTTAATTTCTATTCAAAGCAATTATCTTGCCATATTTCACAAAATAAATTTCACAGTTTTACTTGAAACATGTTAAATAATCACAAATACTATTTTAAAAGAAAAACATGGCGTGCTTAAGAATAATCAAGGAATAACACTAAACCATGAGCAATCCTCCTCATTATACTGTAAAACATCACGGGGATGACATAAATATTTCCATTACAGCTGAATGTAGCATCTTCACTCATTCCTCAATTTGCCTTTATAATCCTTACAATTCCAAGTTATTTAAAACTATGCAGAATGTCAATATTTTAGCCTGCGCACGTCTTTCTCCAGCTGACAGTTCCTTAGATTAAAATGATATGTAAACATTGTCTGCTCCTCTCCTTCAAGTTTACATCCCTGCTGTGTGTAGTGTGATAGCTTTTTCATGCTAATTTCTGAAGTGTTGTGGCATTTGAAAATGACGCAAGATGAAATTGAAGCGCTGAACCTCCGAAGCCTGTGCTTCCAAATTCAGCAATGAGCATTGACCTGAAATTATTTCCACTTTCCATCTCATGAATAAAGTGAAAGGATTGGACACTGACATATTTCCTTTTCCACTTTCCGACACATGAATAAAGTGACTGGCCACTGAGAGGCGAGTAAGTTTGTACAATTAGATTTTATATTTCAAGTCAGCACTTCAATTTCAATTGGTGTCGTTTTTGAGTAGCACCGTGCAGCAAGTCTTTAGCTATGTATGAGGTAAGCATTGTGTACTGAAACAACATGTGGTAAATTAGCATTCATACTGTTTACTAAATAACTGGCTGAGAAGATACCATGGAGGATCTTTGTATACAATTTCTTCAACATAGTTGTTACTGTACAGAAAATTCATAATTCTATGAATAAAAACAAAATTACCATTCCTGGAGTGTTTTGACAATGTCATTGATGTCTTGCTTTTGCAGATCTCTCCCAATGCAAAAGTCCACCTCAAGAAGTTGATTCCGTTGGTCAAGTTTACCTTGAATTATATCTGTATAAATCGCTTCAATAATTAAATCTTCCAGTTCTCTGAGGTTTTTCATATCAAGGTCTTTTAGAAGAATGGAATATGGAATACACTGCAATGTTATCACAAGAGGCTGATTAACAACTTCATGCAAGTAGCAAAAAAGCTTCATTATTAGCTGTAGCAATTCAGATAATATTTTGGTATTAATAATATATTTGCTTGGATTAAGGAATTATTTTTCAAAAAAGTATAGTACAAGTAATGTAAGTAAGTAATGTTTCATTTCTTGCCTAACGCTCTAAAATTTCTGCTTAAAATTATAACAATAAAAAACCATGAAAGTAAACTATTTTTGATTCCACCTTTCCAATGTTGCTGCTACCTTTCACAACAAATTTGAAACAAATTGAATGTATTCGTAGAAATTCCAAAAAAATGTTGATACTGAATATGATAAAAGATTAAGAGGTAAAAAAGATCCAAGGTTTAATTATGCTCTTAGTAATACATGTTTAAAGAAACAAGTATCTACATGACAAAACATCCTACACAAACAGAATCTTAAGTACCTTCATTCTTGCAGCCAAGCTTACTATGGTCAGATGTTTCAGCTTGTTCCTCTGAGCTAATGTTAATTCAGGCAGACTTCCCTTATTAGCTAAACAACAGAAAATATGCAATTCTAGAAAGAACCTTTGAAGTTTATAAAAGCAAGAATTGCAAACAGACCAATCTTGATAGATGCACAACTAGTTTCACAAGAAAGGTTTTGTTAGATCATGATTTGTTGGAACAACGCCAAAGCCCATTAACTTAAAACAAAAACATTGATTTCACACCAAGCGATAAGATGTTCAAAATGTTCTGTTCCTCTTGTTAGTGATTAACTGCATTTAATGAACTGATCATTATAATTCACATGTATTTTAGGAAGCTGACTATGTGTAGGATGCTCTTAGTAATACATGTTTATATTTACAATACAATCACAATTTATTATGCATTTGAAAATTCAGGGTGACTACTAGGATGAGTAAATTGCGAAGTATCTTAACACAACAAATGGAGTACATGTTTTCAGAAGTTGCACTTCCTTACCTAAATAGTCGGGATACGTTCCATATGCAAACAGGTTCAACAATTGAAAATAAGCAGCATAGGATCCGTTAGCCAGCTGTAAAGGAAAAATACTGCACTGAAAATTTATACTTGCAAATCCATTAAGGTATGCAATTACATAAATTGTAACGCTGCCCCATTCTTCGATGCTACTTGAATATTGATACAATATTGATATTTTGCCACTGGGTGTCATTAGCACATTTTGTAAATACAGTACTCTTGCACTTACATAGCAGGTTAAAAACACCTTGAGCAGAAGATGGTCATAACTGCATCAAATTCCCACTCCCCACTTTGATTGTTAAAGACTGAAACAGGCGTCTGATTTCAGAAATCCAAAATCAAAATTACAGGGAGATATTCTGCACCTTATTCTACAAGTTGTGAATTTGATGTTGTGGCCTAACTGCTATTCAATGAGTTTCACAAATTTGTCCCTGTGCTCTTCGAAATAAACCACAGTGCGATTTTAAGTTTTAAATGGCATTGAAGTATGAATGTAAAATTAAAACAACAGAATTACGGTAGGCACTTAAGGACACATGTGCTAATCATACAAAATGGACAATAGCAGTTAATCCAGATTAATGAATTTCTTAAGTAGTGCAGAATAACTTGCACTTGTATTGCGCCTTTCGTGAGGGTAGCATCTCAGAGCGCTTAAGAAGCAGATAATCCCCCTTAAAACACAATTTATAATCATAACAACTTGCATGAAGGTACATCTTAAGTCAGATTTTACAACACAGCCTTGTTCACTTCTTCAGGCCTATTGCATTTAAACTTAAATTTATTTTGTCAAGGAGAAAAAANTAGAATTTATAGAGCTATTGTAAAACAATAGGAAGGAAATAAAGGAAAACATTTTCGGTGCTGCGTTCCTTACCTCTTGCACATTAGGCGTTTCTAGAAGTTCCCCAAAAACATAAACTCCTGGGGCTTCTAATACTTGGATAATGAGAGCAGTTAGTGCTGGCCCTTTGGCAGCTTTGGATAACAAAATAAACTGTTCCAAAGGATTACTTGTGGGTTTTGGTTCTCCTGCCATGTTTCACTGTAAAACAAAGTTATTATATTACCAACACTAGGCCACTGTGGACTCTGATGATTTCGCAGATATCAACCATGGCAAGACAACTGGGCTCAACTCCCCTGGTTGAGTGGAGGAATGAGAAGGGAGGGGAATGAAAACCAACTTGGATTCCTGTTTCTCATCACTATCCAGGGACCCCTTCTTGAAGGTACACATGAGGGTATTGGATCAGGATGGGGGGGTGGGGGGGAACAGTGGTGCAATTGGGGGATTTTGTGAAGCTTGTTTGTGTTATTTATAAATTTAGCAATAAAGAACAACAACAACATTTTTAAGAGGAATATAAAAAGGCATAGGGAAAGGACAGGTAATTGAAATGAGTAATTAGCTCCAGTAGATGAACTGGCACCAATGGTTCGAATGGCCTTCCTCCTAAAGCTAATATTTCTATCGCAAAACTTACAGAACACAATCATTTTAATTGACGGACCTCTTGTGCTCTTCAAGAAAATACATCTCAGGTAAACAAATTAAAACCAACTGGATTCATTTATTAATAATCCTTGATATGCAGTAGTTCCAGATCAAGTTAACGTGCATCATACCATGATGCACTTTACCTATGTGGTGAAGGTTAAACACAGACATTATGCATCAGCAGTGAAATGAATGATTGGGTTGGTTTCCTAACGAATTTTGAATAAAAGGAGTCTCTTATTTTGAAAATGTAATAAGTTAAATATTAATAAGTTAAATCTTCAAAGTCCAAACATAAGCCAATGGGGAATGTCGAAACTTCCAGGACAGCGTTGGAACAAAAATCTACACTTTTTTTTAAAAAAAAGATAGGAGACCAAGTGCAGTTCCTGACAATTAAAACAATTTAAGATGTAGAGATGTGGGAATTCTCCGATGGGGGAAACTGGGGCAGGTTTGGCTCGACCACTGAAACGTGTCAACTTTGAACACTTTTGGCCAGGACAACAGATGAGGGAGGGAGTGAGGGGAGAAATTATTCTGCTCTTCTCTCCAATAAATTATCTTTAATCTCCACCCTGAACGACCGGGAGCGGTCGAGAGAAAAGATGGCACAACCCTTCATCCAAAGGAGGCATCTCCGAATTCTGCAGCGCTCTCCACCACCCACATGGCACTGGAGTCCGGGCGGTGGGCGATTATCCCACAGACAAGCGGTCCAGCCTGGTGGCGTACATTCAAGCCACTGTTTGAATGAGGGTATTTATGTACGTGTGAGACCCTGGAGCGAATGACTCGTCCAGCAATGCCGGGCTCTCTCTCTCTCCCTTGAAGCAGCCGCCGCGGCCTTTCTCTTCATCCAACTCACCTGCCGCAGCCCGCGAGCTCCCGCTCCCAGCGCCCGCCCCCCCCCACGATTCCCCGGCTCCCATTGGCCCGCGCACCGGCGCGCCGACTCGAGGCGCGCTCGCCATTGGCTCGGCCGCCTGTCCGTCACAGCGCGCGGGCGTGGCGGCAGCCTCGCTCTCCGCGAGGAGGGAGCCGTCCGTAACGGTCGGCCGCCGTTTGAAATTCAAACTGATAACCGCCAGCCCGCCCGCCCGCGCGACCGACCGACCGACCGACCGACCGCAGCATCGGTCGCCTTCCCCGCCGCCTCTTCACCCACGAAAGGAGCCTCCTCCGGTGGGGAATTAAAGAAAGCCCCGACAGACAGACACACCGACCGACTAACCCCTCCGGACCCCGGCCCCTGCTCTACAAATTCCGGTAAACATCCTCCAAAGCGGCGGGCCCGCCCGCCCGCGGGGTTAAAAGCGGCTCCTCACCCTCCCCCTCAAGCCCCCCTAACCCTCCTTCCAACCATTCCCACCGGGTCTGGAGCCAAATGCGGGCCAAGTGGCCTTGAAACGTTAATTTTTTTTTGGGGGGGCGGTGGTGTCGAACAGATGTCTTGACACGTGCGGAAACCCATCCGTTGCCAATGCTTCCGAGTCCGCACACAGACCAAGCGGAGAATTCGGTGCCTTCCCACCCACGCGTGGAAATTCCAGAGATGTAAAGATTAATATTATATTTAATCACTTCAGCCTTTGACCGTCCGAGGTCAGATAATAATAATAATAATAATAATAATAATAATCCTTGCATTTTGACATAGCGCCTTATCACGTGGTTTTGAGACGTCTCAAAACGCTTCACAGAAGATTGGCGTCGAATCGCTTTCCAGGGTAATAGTCCCACCCACGAAAAAAATCATTAAAAAAACTCGGTCACTTCATCCACGGCTGTCTGTGGGACGCCGCTGTGCGCAATTGGTTGCCGCGTTTCGCCCCCAAAATACAGTCAATCCACTTTACAGTGTGTTCTGTGAAGCGCTTTGGGACGTCCTCCCGACGTGAAAAGCGCTATATCAAATGCAAGGATTATTATTATTATTATTATTCTGTGAATTGCTTTGAGACGTCTCAAGAGGGATGGAGGGCAGGCTGGGGTGGGGTGGGGGGGGATGACCAAAGACTTGGTCAAAGGAAGGTTGTGGAAGCACAGCCCGCGATTACTTAATTGGAGAGAATCCCCCCCCCCACCACCACCACCTCTTTTCGTCTGCACGATCTTTAAAGTCCACCTGAATAGGTACAGAAGTCTGGGAACTAAGTTTAACGTCTCGTGCAAAAGATGTCGCCCCCAACCATGTAGCGCTTGTCCCAGCGCTGAAGCGTCAGCCTAGACTATGAGCTCAAAAAGTCTTGAGGGTAGAAATGACCTTGTCTTTCCCTCGTCTCCTTCGAAAATGAGTCATCTCTCCCCATAATTTAAATAAACGACAATGAAATAACACTGTAAAATTGTCTACGCTATTCCCAGTACTCACCTTTCCAGTCACAAATAATTTACCAACTTCCAATCCTGTTACTGACCCATAAATTCACAACCTGGCCTCAAAGTCAAAAATTAAATGCACAAACCAACTTTATGGACATTGAGAGTGGGATTGGGATCAGACACTCATCTGTATATTCCTCATCAATAAATTACAAAAATCGTAATCTTTCAACTATATGGCATTCCATCTTTAACACCCCATTTGCAATCCCAAGGTCCATGCAGCAGTGATGCAATTGTAACTTTCAGTCACATTGTAATTCTGTGTGCCTGTGTTTTTTTATATTTGGTTACAATGTTTAAATAAAAGGAAAACTTGATTTTTTTTAAACATAACGCTTTATTTACAAAACATCTTTGTCAAACTTCTATAAAGTGCACAAATACTCAACCAGTCCACTTTGATTTCATAGTTAATGAGTAGGATACATAAGGGCACATGATTTTTGCTGCGGAAACATCTACACTGTAATCATGAAGAAAAAAAGATCCGTAAATAGACTGGCAAAGAGCAAGGAAGGGTGGACAGAGAAAAGTGCTGCTGTGAATAAACGTAACTAGGAAGTTCGCATAGATTGTGAAAAGAATGTGTTGAATAGGTTACTTGAGCTGCAAAGGCAAGTTGTAAAATAACCAAACCTTTGCAGTTAAAATCATAGAAATCACTTTGCTAAAGACAAGACCATTTAGCTCATTGAGCCCATGCTGGTGCTAGCAGCTCCTCTATTAGAGCTAACTACAGTAAAACTTGCATAAGTCTTATCTTTATAATCATATAATCGCTAAAGGTATACATGCACCCAAGTCCCATCCAGTTTCCTACCAAAAAACACTTAGATTTCTTTACACTAGTCGTATTTTATAAATCAGATAAATGTCTAAAGTGTAATGGTTTCTTGGTCTCAAATGCTATGCACATCATCTCCTAACTCGTGATGCTGCTACTTCATTTACTGGCTTTACTAAATTGCGGAAAACAAAGTCTTAACTTGTCATCAAATGTGCACTTACCGGCTGCATTGAATCACAGGAAACATAGCCTTGACCTGTCACTACAAGCACTACACTTATTGGCTACATTGAAGTAAGCAAGCGTAGTGCAGATTTCGTATAAAATCTGACTTATAAAGTTTGCCTGTAACTCATACTCTACATAAGGTATATTCAATGTTATGATCCAAAAATGATACAACTTATGTGCGTTTTACTGTATTCCAACCCTTATTCCCTTGCTCCCTCCCCATACCCTGAATATTATGTTCACATTTAGAATTATTTCAATCTTTTATTTATAAAATGAAAATGCATTAAATGAAATGTTTAAAAAAGCTAACTACTTTTTTTCCAATATTAATAACAAAAGCAATGAAACACAGGTGCTTAGAATGAATGTGTTTGTTTCAAATCACCACACAGAACACTTTTCAACCGGATTCATCGGTGCTCCTTTGCGACAATGAAACACTCTTCCAAATTCGTCAAATTGAGAAACACTCCCAATGACCCTGATGAAAGAAAAAGGAAGACCATCAAGGAGACTTAATAATAATAATCCTTGCATTTGATATAATGTCTTTGAGATGTCTCAAAGCGCTTCACGGAATATACTGTACAGTGAATTGATTGTAGTTTTGGACGAAACAGCTTTGTCATACCCATGCCCATTGCTGCTAAGTGTACTGCTATTCATTTACAATTGATGAAAAATGAACTTTTGCTAATTGTTTCAAATGTCGTTCATTGATACCCAAATGAATGTTCTGCCGAATTTAAAAAATACTGTACAAGTGTATTCATCTTAACTTTCAAAATATGGATTGAACCATAAAAATATGAAGAGGCAAAACTTATCATGGGCTCAGCTATCAATAAGTTGACAAGAAACCAACTTTCTTCTCACGTATAGTTCCCTTACTCAGGGAAAGATTTGGAATTAATGGTGTCAGTGAAAATTGAATTAACAACAACTTGCATTTACATAGATCCCCTCATGCAGGATAGTGTTCCAGAGTGCTTGATAGTGATGGAGCATGATGCCGAGCCAGGTGGAGGTGTCCATAGGCACAGTCGAAGAGGAAGGTCTTCTTGAAGAAGACTTCAGGATGTGGCAAGACAGAGAGATAGAGGAAGAGTGTTCCAGAGTTTTGAGGTGTGGCTGAAAGTGCAGCCACTGATGGTGTAACGGAGGGCACGAGGGACAAGCAGGAAGCCGGAGCCAGTCGAGTGGAGGCAATGGGTAGTGGGTTGGGGAGAAAGCAGGTCAGAGAGGTAGAGCAGTGTCAGGGCATGAAGTGATTTGAAGATGAGTTTGAAGATCCTGAAATCAATCTGATCGGTAATAGGGAGCCAGAAAGGCGCTTTACAAATGTAATTTTGTATTGTATTCTTCGTAGAATTTTGATGCTGTTGTTTCAATCTGAATCAGGGGGATCAAAAGTGTGTTGAAGAAATGAAAATCAAAAGTAGAAGCGATATAGGAATAAAAACAGAGAGCAGCTGTTACTACAGCTTGACCGTTTCAAAATATGATCCTTTAACCTTTACTGTTGAGTAAAAGCAGCTCTCTTTTCAGTCTGGCAAGGAGAACGAGGGGAAGGCAGAGGTTTGTCTGAATTATTCCTGTCATGCATTTAAGCTTCGTCTTTGACTGCTCCACTGATTTGTGTTTTTTTCCAAATCATTGATCTTTTTGTGAGGAAACAAACCGTTTATTTCTCATCTAATTAAAGCAATGGAGAACTGGTACATTTAACAGATTGTATTTCTTTGCTATTTCATAACGTACTAGAAATAACTTAATTGTTTCCATATTTTCATTTCAGTGTGAATTCGCTCGTGTGCACACTGCAACAACAATAACAACAACAAAATTACATTTGTGTAGTGCCTTTCATGTCAGGCGGATGACCCAAGGCGCTGAACAATCAGTGTTTCGGACGTGAGCTGGGGGTCAGGCATCGGGGGAGGATGGAGAGCAGGGGGGGGAGAGGAGGAGGACCGAAAGTATGGTTGAAGAGGAGGCACTTGAGACGGGTCTTGAAGGAGGCAAGGGAGGGGATGAGGCAGAGGGACTCTGGGATGGGGTTCCAGAGGGTGGGGGCAGAGTGGCAGAAGGCCCACCCGCCAATGGTGGGGCGGGAGACGTGAAGCAGGCCAGAGCCCACTGAGAGGAGGGAGCGGGCAGGTTGGTAGGTCGCAGAGATAGGAGGGAAGCAAGATCATGGAGGGCTTTGAAGGTGAGGAGCAGGATCTTGACCTGTATCCTCTGTGTGATGGGAAGCCAGTGGAGTCGGGCGAGTAAGGAGAAGCTGTTTGTGGAGATGGTATGAGAGGTAGGATCTGAACCATTCAAGGACAGAACATGAACATGGTGGGGGCGGATTGAGTGGTCAATGATAGCGAAGGCAGCAGAGAGGTTGAGGAAGCAGAGGGAGCCCTTGTCACAGATGGACAAAATGTAATTTGTCACTTTGACCAGAGATGTTTCTGTGCTGTGGGCAGCACAAAAACCTGAATGGAGGAGTTCTTGAAGGGAGTGGTAGGAGAGAAGCTGGGAAGCAACGACTCATTCCAGGACCTTGGAAAGGAAAGGGAAGTTGGAGATGCAGCAATAGTTTGAGAGCGGGGATGGGTCCAGGGAGGGTTTTTTAAGGATGGGGTGATGATGGTCGTTTTTAAAGGGGTAAAGTAGGACTATTGAGGAAGTTCAGTGGACATATGTGCAATAGAAAAGAAAAGACCAATTATTCAATCAAGTGGGTGTTTCCTTGGGATTCATAAAGAGGAACACTTTGCTATTCTTGCAGGCATACTGCTAAAGGTGGCATTGCTAGAAGGTAAATGCATTACGTTCCTCCATTATCTGCTATAAAATTAAATACATGAGCAGCATGGAAATTGCAGTTCTCTTAAAGATCTCAGTGTCCTTGGAAGTGGAAAGCAGAGCAAGAGGAAAAGTATTAAAAAGGAGTGTTGTACTTTTCCAGAAATACCCACATTGAATTTTAAACATAATCATTTTCATATTAATATTCATGTGACCAGTACTAATCTCAGTGATGCTCATCATATCGATCACTGGCACAGTTTATTTGGCACTTTGCCATTATTTTGTAAGGCAGCCCTCAAGCAGACATTCATATTCCTCCTGGACCCACAGCATCCAGGCGGAACCACACAGATTGGGGCTAATAATATGAATTAATTACACTAATCAGAGTTAATGTAGGTTAATTGGAAAATAGACTTTCTTCCTTAAATCAGAAGAAAAAAAACTGACTTATGAAACTTGAGGGAATACAATTTTTACACCATTAGGGAGTTGGAAATATTTTAAAATTGAAAATGAGTTTTCAGTCCTGCATAACCTACAACTTATTAAAATTAAATAAGCACTTTATACATCACTGTCAAATGGGGCAAATTCTATAAAGTGCTTAACTGAGACACAGATGCTATTTATTCCTTGTTACCCATTTAGCTTATTTAAATGCAACATCTTTAAGAAGCCATTGCTAGTGTTTCTTCTTTATCTTTATATTTGTATCCTATCCTCGGAGGATATCCAGTGACTGTTCACTAGATTAATGACTGGACTGATAATAATAATTATTATATAAATGCAAGGTGTTATTGAGTCCTGTAGCTAAATTAGCATAGCCTGACATACGGTAGACAACCTTCCGACTCAGAAACAAGAGTACTGCCAACTGAGACAAGGTGACATCAGTAGCCTCATAAACAACTCTACCAAGTATGGTACCTGTAATATTCTGGGGCATGTTTGTCAGTCAGCAGCTGCAGGTAAATGGACTGTGATCTTCTCTTCATACACCAGTTCTGATGAGAGAGCGGAACAGAGATTCAAAAGCTAATAAACGTACCATTATGTCGTTTGCATTAAAATAAAAGTCTGTCATTAAAATAACACAATGTTGCTCTGTGGGAAAACAGAATGGTTATTAATGATCAGTATTCATGAAAAAAGTGAGTCATTTGTACAGGGTGTCATTATGTGCCTTTGTGTATAGCATTTTAATTGATACATTTGCCATTCCGAACACATTTTCCGCAACATTTGCAGTAAATTATGGTTCATCTGGAAGCTGGTGAAGAAGATGCACATTTCAATGACCTGACAGAGTTCTGTGCTTAATTGCAAAAAAAAACTTTGTTAAAAGTAGCAATGGGCACGTTTCCAAAGAGTTTCATCAGAGCCTTGTAAGGCTGGTTTTGCGTGTGGGTGATACTGAAAACAGGATTTGAAAGGATGTGGTTCCTGCTTGACATGATCCCACACACTGCAATCGCAATCCTAGCATATCTTCATGGCCAGTCAGGCCAGACACTTGCCCTAAAGGGAAGTACGGAGAATCAGAGAGTGAATCATACTAAGCTGTTCTTCTGCGACTGGTTTCAATGTGATACTGGTAGGGGTTTCGAACTCAGTTTAATAATAATAATAATAACCCTTGCATTTGATATAGCACCTTATCACGTCTTCAAGACGTCTCAAAGCACTTCACGGTGTAAAGTGAATTGACTATATTTTGTGGTTGAAACGTGGCAGCCAATTGCGCACAGCAGTGTCCCATAAACAGTCATGGATTGAGTGACCAAATTATTTTTATTTATTGGCAGGCGATGCCGCAATAGAGATTCAATGAACGTGATGGAGGCAACAGATGCTAATAAAAGGAACCAATTCAGCATGTCCTGTTTTGTGTTGGTTATACAGTAAAACTCGTACAAGTCTGATCTGTATATATTGTACAATCGCCTAAGTCCTGTTCAAGAGTTTATATTCTATGCAAGTTTGACATCACACATATTTTGCTTAAATCATGTTATTAAGTGTACAGTCCCAACTGATGTGACCTATGTGAGGTTTACTGTTAAAAAGCTCAACCTTCCAACATATGACTTGCTAATAGCTCATTAATAAGGAAGTTTGGAATCCTCACAGCGAGCACAACATATAACGTACTATGGTCCCATTTCTGTTCTGAGTCATTGAATGGTTCTTATGTAATGTAATGTACTACACTAAGCAATGTGAATCTGTTTTGGCTACTCTGTCCAGCTGGATCTACAAACAGGCTTTATGGAAGAGAAATACTCTTCAAAGCTAGCACTGTGTTTTAAAGGAGAAACTCAAGACAAACAATGGAGCAAGTACTCGACTTCAAAAGTATTTGCCCCTGGAGTTCCCTTCCCCTTTAACAGTTTGAATATTACAATATTATTTGACATCACATCAAAGAGAATAAACCAACTCTTTGATTTTTGTATTATTTCAAAGAATGCTATTCATAAAGATTAATTTCCTTTGTGCCATTCCGAATTCCCACGTCTACAATAATATACTTTATACAGATGTTGAGCCAGAATGCTTAAAAAAAACATCTCGTCTTAGATCAGAACCTGCCTGCCACATAATAGCTTCCTTTCATTGTTCTGATGGCGTGTCCTTTCAGAGCACCGACTTCAAACAGAGTTCAAAGAGAAAAGCTTCATCTGCGTCAGGCTGAAATGATCAGCTTTGAGGCGAAGCAAGATTTGTGTTTGATTTTCTGCGTGCCCTTGGTGATATAAAGCAAAGGTTCAAACACAGACCGGCAGAGGGGGAAAAAAAAGCAGAACTGAAAGCAATAACGTCATCACAATGAATGTGACTCCCTGCACCCCATTAACAACAAGTAGATGCAGAAGAGGGCAGCAAAAATAGATCTTAGTCTAGTCGTAGAGTTTTAATGGGAGAAGGCACGGTCATGTGATTTCTCCTTCATTACCATTGCCGCTTTAGTACACAGACAATATTCCAGTCATTGAAAAGACATCATACTCCATGTAAAAAAACAACAGGATACCCATGGATTATGCCACTTAGTAGTTGGTTTTAGCCTCACATCACCTTGCCACTGTCAAGGCAAGGCCATGTGCTTCCCACAGGGAAAGCTAGGAAAATTGCAGAATGAGTCACCCAGCAGTGCTCTCATACTTCCCCCCACCCCGACACGCCTCCCAACCTAAAAGGTTATTTACAGAATAGCATTGACAGAGGCTTGAAAGCAAATAAATTGTTCACAGTGCCAGATTTCTGGCTGACGTCCTCTTATGGAAACAGCTGTTAGAGAAAACACGCAAGAAAAACTAACTTCACAGAAAATCACAGAAAAATAGGCCAGTGTGGGGCATAAAAATGTCACCAAAGCTATTCTGAGCAAGAAACATATTCTGTGCCAAATTACGGACAGCTTCGCTGGGTGGGTGCCCAGTTTGTGCAGCATTTAAATGCAGGTTCCAATATTCAGAGACAACCTTCCATCTCACCACATTCAAGTTTTAGCAGAATACTGTGTGATTGAAGAGCAGCGCTTATTTTTATTAAAAAAAGGGAAATTTAAATAGGCAGAGCCACGACTTTGAAAAATGTCAGAGCTATGAGTTTTCAATTGCTTGCAATAAAGTACTCCTGTTTCTGCCAAATAGATTTCTTTATCACTTAAAATAGGTTCATCTCCTTCCCCAAAAGTTCCCATCCTGAGTGAGTCACTTGATAGCAATCCGAGGCTCTAGTCCAGGCCTATAAAATTATTCTGCTTTAATATGCAATATCCATGCCGATTTGCAGAACATTGTTAACTTCAAAAATGGCAACTTGCATTTATATAGTGCCCATCAGGATACAAAAACTGGAAAACCAGCTCCCAAATTAAGACTGAATGTAATAAACTTTTAACTTTAACCTTAACTTTTAAGGCAATTGTTTTACAGACATCGACTCGGTAGAACTTCAGGCCTTGAGAGCAGGAATCCTGGGCTGGTTTTGTCCTCCCTAATGGAAGTGCTGAATCCGCTTGAGATAAGAATAATAATAAGAGGATGCAGCCAATGCCCCAGTATCGGAGGAGAGGGTAGAGAAATTGGATAAGATAAGAATAAACCGAGAGGAGGTACTAAAAAGTTGTTGGTGCTCAAGGTAGATAAGTCACCCAGTCCAGACGGGATGCATCCTAGGTTACTGAGGGAAGTAAGGCTGGAAATAACAGAAGCTCTGGCCACAATCTTTCAATCCTTGAATACTGGGATGGTGCCAGAGGACTGGAAGGTTGTAAATGTTACTCCCCTGTACAAAAAGGGGCAGACAGATAAAACCGGGAACTACAGGCCAGTCAGCCTAACGTCAGTAGTGGGGAAACTTATAGAGACTATAATCCAGGACAAAATACATTTTCACTTAGAAAAATATGGGTTAATAAAGGACAGCCAACATGGGTTTATTAAAAGCAAATCGTGTCTAACAAACCGGATAGAGTTTTTTGATGAAGTAACTGAGAGGGTGGATGAAGATTGCGCAGTTGATGTAGTTTATATGGATTTTCAAAAGTGGTTTGATAAACTGTCATATAAGAGATTTGTAAGCAAAATAGAAGTCCCGGGTGTTAAAGGGACAGTGGCAGCGAATTCTGGGAGATAGAAAGCAGAGAATGGTGGCGAACGTTTTTTCTGACTGGAGGGAAGAGTGCAGTGATGTCCCCCAGCGGTCAGTATTGGGACCACTGCTGTTTTTGATCTATATAAAATGACCTGGACTTGGGTATAGGGAATACAGTTTGCACCTGATACTAAGCGAGGAAAAGTAGTAAACCGTGAGGAGGATAGTAGCAGACTGCAAATGGACATAGACAGTCTGGTAACACAGACAGACAGGTGGCAGATGAAGTTCAATGTGGAGAAATGCAAAGTGATGCATTTTGAGAGGAAGAATGAGGAGAGGTAATATAAGCTACATGGTATAATCTTAAAGGGGGTGAAGGAACAGAGATATCTGGGGGTTCATATAAGTAAATCTTTGATATATGAGATACTAGGCTTTATAAGTAGGGGCATAGAATACAAAAGTCAGAAAGTTATAATAAACCTTTATAAAACACTGTTAGGCCTCAGCTAGAGACTATGTTCAGTTCTGGGCACCACACTTTAGGAAGGATGTCAAGGCATTGGAGAAGGTGCAAAGAGATTGACCAGGATGGTACTAGGAATGAGGGACTTTAGTTATTAGGTTAAGAGGAGACAATAAAAGTTTCCAAAATTATGAGGGGATTCGATAGGGTGAACAAGGAGAAAAATTTCCACTGGCTGGTGGGTCGGTAAATAATAGTTGTTAAAGGAAACAGAGGGGAGGTGAAGAGAAATGTTTTCACACAGCGAGTTGTTGGATCTGGAATGCATTGCCTGAAAGGGTGGTAGAAGCAAATTCGATAACAACTTTTATTTGGGGAGGACAAATTTGCAGGGCTATGGGGCGAGAGCATGAGTGTGGGATTGAATTGGATAGCTTTTTTTAAAGAGCCGGCACAGACATGATAGGCCGAATGGCCTCCTTCTGTGCTATATAATTCTATGATTCTATGATAGTCCTTGCAATTTGATGTAGCGTCATTGAGGTGTCTCAAAGCGCTTCATAGAATATACTCTAAAGTAAAGTGGAGTGACTGTGTATCTTTTGGGTGAAACGCAGGAGCCAATTGTGTACAGCAGTGTCCCACATACAGTCATGAATTGAGTGACCAAATTATTATTTAATTTTTTCAAGGGATTATTACCCAAATCAGCTCACTCAGCAAAAAAAACAGGAATTGAACCCTCAACCTTCTAATCTGCATGGGTAACCTTACACCAGACTGTACCTTTATACTCACACTATGGCATTAGTGCTGTCAGATGGATCTGCAGAAGGCTATATCCATTCACTGGCCAGTATTTCTCAGTACATATATATTCCTGTCACACTGTGTGCATTCAAGAAAAATGAATAGCAGCCTTCGAAAATCTTTGCGGTTAATAATTCATCCTCTTGTTAAACAAAGAAAGAGTGAAGATCCGATCATAAAATATCTGAGAGGAAGTCAATTATACTTCTAGAGTCATAGAATAATAGAATTTTACAGCATAGAAGGAGGCCATTCAGCCCATCGTGCCTGCGCTGGCTCTTTGAAAGAGCTACCAACTAGTCCTAGTCTTACCCCATATCCCTGTACATTTTCCCTTTTTAAGGATTTACCTAATTCCCTTTTGAAAGCTATTATCGAATACGCTTCCAACAACAACTTGCATTTATATCGCGCCATTCACACGGGGTAGTATCCCGGAGAGCTTCTTTCTTCCACCATCCTTTCAGGCAATGCATTCCAGACCATAATAGCTCTCTGGGTAAAACAAAATTCTCCCCTCCCTCTGGTTCTTTTGCCAATTATCTTAAATCTGTGTCCTCTGGTTACCAACCCACCCTCCAGAGGAAACAGTTTCTCCCTATCTACTATACCAAAACCTTTCATACTTGTTCAGCTTTATGCCCTCCACTCTCCCCAATCTCGACCCCCAGCTCGGGTCCGAAACTATCTGTCCAGCGCCTTGGGATGTCCTTCCAACATGAAAGGCGCTATACACATGTAACTTTGTTGCTGCTGTTGTTTATTAAGTGATTTTTTTACCTGGGCGAATGCAATAAAGACAAGTTGCTCGTGAGTATACTTCAGTCCTGGGAGTGGATGCTCAGGGCCATGATCTCGGATCCATTTCTGGTAAGCCTGAAATGTAACGTAAGGCAAGAGGACTGATTGATAAGAGGTATCTATTAATGATAATTAAAAAAATGCATTTAATATAAGAAAAGGTGATTTCACTTACATAGTACGCAAGTTTGAGTCCTCCCATGTCAGCAATGTTTTCTCCAAGTGTAAGTTGCCCATTGACCTGTAGAGGGCGACCAAGAAAAGCAAAGGAAATTACAGGCACAGTACACTTCCACCTTTTATACTTCTTATCTATTTTGTTCCACCCACAAAATACACAGTCATCACACGTTACAGTATAGCCTGTGAAGGGCTTTGAGATGTCTCAATGACCTGATAAGACCTTTATCAAATACAAGGATTATTATTATTTGACCCAGACGGCATCTGAGGACTCACCTTAGACATTGCAGTGGACCCCTAGCACTGCGCTGGAGTGTCAGCCCGGAATATAAGCTCAAAGTCCTGATTAGGGTCTTAACCACACAGTTAATAAAGTTCTAAGCAAATATTCTACCAACTGTGCCAAGCTGACAACATTTTGGCTGTTCTTCTGAGTTTAGGTTTATGTCCCCTTGGTTCTAGATTTTGTGTCCATCCAAATCCGAAAAAGTTTATTAAGGTTTGTGTCATCCTTACCTACTACTTTTAAGATATTGAATAGTTCCCCAAGGTTTCTCTTCTCCCCTGTTTAGAATGGGAAAAATCTCACAAGGATCATTTTAAGAATAATCTTTGCATTTGATATAGCGCCTTATCACGTCGTTGAGATGTCTCAAAGAGCTTCACAGAATATACTGTAAAGTGAATTGACTGTATATTTTGTGGGCGAAACGCGGCAGCCAATTGCGCACAATTTAATTGAGAGTGTTGTCATCCCAGAGCTTTTAGGAAAAAAATATTTTTATACAAATTCCTCTGGTGCATTTTTCAGGGCAGAGCGAACGACTGTGTGGGTTTGAGTTAAAACTTTGAGTCAAGCAATTACGAGATACTCCTCACTGCGTTTAACTCTCACTATTAACTAGTGGGGTTCATAATTGTAAGCGTCCCAATCGCATGGGTGTGACAAAAGACAGACTCAATCTATCCGTCATTGTAGGACTCTTAGAGGGAAGTAGTTCACTGGGTTCATTCACAGTTTATTGATTATTCATTCACAGTTTTGAGAACGAAAAATGATTTATATTGGCTATTGATGGAAGACCACCTCATGAGGCCACACTGAAATTATAGGGTCAATTTAACATTGTTCATCTTATTCTACACTTAAACCCTGACTCAACGGACTAATGGGGGTGGGGACTGAGATCTAATCCAGTGATCCTGAATTTCCAGCTAAGAGTAATAATAATGGTACAGGCATTGTAATTCCTTCAATTCCACGAGCCCAAGATATTAATAATAATAATCTTGCATCTGACATAGTGCCTTATCACACCGTTGAGACGTCTCAAAGCGCTTCACAAAATATATTCTAAAATGGATTGACTGTACTTTGTGGGCGAAACGCAGCAGCCAATTGCACATAGCAGTGTCCCACAAACAGGTCCAGCTAGGTTTGGATTCCAGATACCCAGAGTTCAATTAAGCCGGAGGTTTACTGTATCTAAATAACATAACATATAGGAGGAGCAGGCCTCTAATTCTTCTGTATTCTATATTCTAGAGAATATAGGCCCAAATTGGTCAGCCTATCCTCATAACTCATCCCCTTCATCCCTGGTACTAACCTAGTAAATCTACGCTGCACACCCTCCAAGGCAAGTAATTCCTTCCTTAAATAAGGAGACCAAAACTGCACACAGTATTCCAGGTGTGGTCTCACCAGGGCCCTACACAGTTGCAGCAAAATGTAGTGTCAATTCATGGAGTGAGGGGAGACAGTTCATGGAGCAAAGGGAAAAACTGAGGACTTACCCTCTGATCGTAGACGGTAAAGTTTTCATACAGGTTCACAACGCATTCTGCACGCTCTAGAAACTTGTTGTACGATTCTTCGGTCCACCACTTTTTTAGATTGCCGTATTTATCATAATGACTCCCTGAAACAAAGGAAATAATAATAATGCTTGCATTTGATGCAGCGCCATACCATATCGTTGAGACGTCGCAAAGTGCTTCACAGGATACACTGTAAAGTGGATTGACTGTACTTTGTGGGCGAAATGTGTCAGCCAATTGCACACAGCAGTGTCCCACAAACAGTCGTGGATTGATTGACTACATTTTTATTTATTTATTTATGTTGAAGGTATTACCTCCTGGAAAGCTACCCGCCAATTGACTGATTACCGGGTTCTTACTTACTGCTAGGTAAACACTGGGTCACGATCTTTCCAACATCTATTTCATGTCATTTCATATGAAATCCAACATACAATTAGTGGCCAAAGTGCATCAGAGTAATGTAAGTGAGAAGCCTCCACCATCCTCATCCCAATGACTGGAGCTCTGAGCAGGGGCAGCAGCACTTCTGAGTACAATACAATACAAAATTACATTTGTAAAGCACCTTTCACGTCGGGAGGACATCCCAAGGTGCTGAACAGGAACCGCTACTTACAACTGTGAGTCATCACTCGTCACTCCTGTTCCAATCACTGCATATTGGAGCTCGAGATATCGTGTAGACTATAAAGCTTCTTGTGGTCAGATCTCAAGCCTTGGCACTTGCCTCTGTGCTATCTTTTTCCAAGTTTAATAGGGACTGAGAGAAGAAGCGACAGGCAAGGATTTACATAATCTGAATGCGTGCAGAATTAACAAAAGCCCCACTTGCTCTGTACAAATGAACAGATGAATAAATGATAAAGGTTACCAGCTAATTTAGCAGATGATTAACTCTGAGTCACCCTTTGTCACCTTCAAGCCCTTTTGACTACTGGAAGAGAACCACTCAACTTGCCGGGATTGTGTATGGCATGGCTAACATTTTACTCGTGGTATATTCTTGTACTTATTTTTAATGTCCGTGATTGCAATTTTTTGTTGATCTTGACTTTTTCTCTTGTTCTCTTTATTTGTTTTTTTTCTGCAGCAGTACACATAACCTTCCAATCCGTACAGTAAAGGTTTGAACAATTACAAGGGTTTTTTAACCCCCTAGCAACCTGTCTGCTACCTCCACTTTGCCTACTCCATCATTGGCGGGCAGGCCTTCAGCCTCTCTGCCCCCACCCTCTGGAACTTCATCCCACAGTCCCTCCACCTCAGCCCCTCCCTTGCCTCCTTCAACATGCTCCTCTTCGACTGTACCTTTGGTCACCCTCTTACCCCTCCCTGCCATCCACCTCCTGACATGAAAGACGATATACAAGTGTAATTTTGTATTGTATTGTACTCAGAAGTGCTGCTGCCGCTGCGCAGAGCTCCAGTCATTGGGATGAGAATGGTGGAGGCTCCTCATTTACATTACTGTGATGCACTTTGGCTACAAATTGCATATTGGATTTCATATGAAATGACATGTTGGAAAGATCGTACCCAGTGATCGCCTAGCAGTAAGTAGGAACCCAGTTGTTAGTCGATTGGCGGATAGCTTTCCGCTAATCCCTTCAAAATAAATACAAATGTGGGTCACTCAATCCACAACTGTTTGTGGGACGGGGCAGTGTCTCGGAGCACTTAATAATGGTGGAGCCTGATGCCAAGCCGGGGGAGAGAGTAGGTGATCGTAAGCACAGTTGAAGAAGAAGATCTAAAAGAGAGGAAGGAGGGGGCAAGGCGGAGGGATTGGGTGAGCGAGTTCCAAAGCTTCGGGGTGTAGTGGCTGATGGTGATGTGGAGGGGACAAGGGACAAGCAGATTATAATGGGAACACAAATACCACCTCTGCTCCTGCGGTTTGCGAAACAGAAAAGTACAAGACATTGGCAGAGACTGACCATACCCCAATCATCATATCCATGCGTCAACTCGTGTCCGAATATGGTTCCGATACCTCCATAGTTCAGCGACCTATTGATAAATAGTTGATAGATATTCATTGAGGTTGTAGGGCATTCCTCAAAAATACATATCAATCTGACCCCACAACCTTCTCATTTCTTCCCCAAAGTTAATAAGACCTCTGAACCAACAAACGACTGGAAAGGGTCACACCAGCAATCTAAAACCCATAATACTTGCACATTACCCTAAACACCGCTCACATCTAACCCACACTTAACCTCTCACCTACTGACAGACACACAAACTCCCGGGGTCTGTCAGACCTGTGTCAAAATGATCACCACAATCTAAACCTGTCACTGTATATTTCTGACGTGTGTAGTTTATAGAGAGGGCAATCGACAGCTGGTTATCAGGGAACGTTTTTGAGACAAAGACACTGGGATTAATTTAAGAAACAGCTTGATGTAATCGGAAGATGGAAGAGATGACATTATGGAAGGATGAGGTCAAATGGACTGGGCCTTGTTCATGTGAATTTCTCTTGTGACCTTGTATCGTGAGAGAAATTACATGTAAACTTTCATGAACTCAGTGAAAGCATACAGCCTTATTACTGTAATTACTCATCATTTGAAATACTCACTGAGGAAATTCAGGGTCGTATAGCGTAGGTTGTAGGATTCCAGCCGGAAAGACTAAGGAAGTGAAGAGAGACTGAACTGAGCCCAATTTCATTACAACATTTTACTCCCTGATGAATCTGCTTAATTTTAGTTTAACTTATTTCAAAAAAATTACCAGGGGAGGGAAAAAAAATCCTTAAAGAAATAGTAATCATAGAGCAGGAGATGCTTGTTGTGGGTATTTGTAAGTCAATAATGACACACATTTATACCTTAATGTGTTATGCGTATATAGTAAATAAGTCCATAAAGTGGTGTTTTAGACCTGCTTAAATACTGTATCAATGTAGCATTTGAACTCTGGTCTCCATTGGGTATAAAGAGCCACAGAGATCCCTGCTGGGGTTGAGATCAACGATGAATTGTTACCACTCCCACCAGAGACACAAATAATGAGAATCAAATCCAAACGATCCAAAGTCTTCATGGCAGCAACACCCGGGTTAGACTCCGCCACTCTGAAGCTCTCCGGGACGCTACCCCGAAGGGTGCTATATAAATGCAAGTTGTTGTTGTTGTACCCCTTACATGGCGGAGTAACTTGACAAATCACTCGTAGCACAAGGCAAGCTGACGGCTCCAACTAGACAATAATAATAATCCTGGCATTTGATACAGTGCCTTATCACGTCTTCAAGACTTTCCAAAGCGCTTCACAGAATATACAGTGTATGTTTTGCGGGCGAGATCACCCTCTGTCACAGGGTCAGCACTTTGCCCTAACAGTCTCCGAATGAGAGGAAAAAGGAGAAAGTTATTGTACGTCAGTCGATGGGCTTTTAATTTGCACAAGTGTTATATTCTCTTTTTTTTTCCTCCAATGTCTTTTAAAAAAAAGATATTTTGAAAAATGAGAGTCATTATTGAGCAGGTTTGAGGACAGGTGTAATGTGTGGATGTCTGAACAGGGATAGATGGGACGAGTTGCTAATTGTCTTTGGAGTGGGAGAGTTGGGCAGTGGGTGTGTGTAGCAAATGGAGCTCAGTGCCCCTGTGGGTCAAGTGTATATTTATAATGAACTACACAATTATATTTGATGACATTTGTAGCTCCCACACACTGCAGCACAAAATGCAGGAGGTCAGAGAAAAGTTCAACTTGAAATTTAAACTAGTATTTTCTGCACAGAAAACCCCTTACCCCCCACCACCACCCCCACCCCCGTCTCCCCCCCCACCCACCACCAACACTTTTATATTTTATGAAATCCTACACAAGAGGGTTTTAAATTAAATATAGACCGTGTATTCCTGATTGTTCTGCTTTTATCATATGCTGAGTTGGTAATAATTGCTATTTATCCCAGGAAAACAACAACTTGCATGTGTACAGCGCCCTTCAGACAGGGCAACATCTCAAAGCCTTAACATAGAGAAGCCTTAAGCTGAGCTGGTGGAAGGAAGGAGGTGACCGTAAGCACGGTCGAAAGGGAAGGTCTTCAGTCATGATCAAAAAGAGGAGAAGGAGGGGGCAAGGTGGAGGGATTAATGGAGAGAGCTCCAAAGCTTTGGGGCATAGTGGCTGAAAGTACGGCCGCCAATGGTGGAACAAAGAGGATGAGGGACAAGCAGGAGGCCCGAGCTAACCAAGCGGGTAGTAGAGTGGGAAGAAAGCAGGTCAGAAATGTACGAAAGTGCCAGGGTCTGAAGGGATTTGTAGACGAGTGTGAGGACAATCATTTCAACTAAAGTAATTGCTGCATTCTGAATGTAGGTTCCATGGACGGAGAATGAAACTCCTTTTTTATTTGGATACAAAGGCTTTTTGTGGCTTTGTGAGAAAAATGTGTTTACTGGATAACCATTTGCAATGAAATGATTTTGACATTGAGCTACTCACCCATCTGGTTTTGGGTTGACAAGTAATAAGCATTTAGAGTCTGAGGAGGAAGAAGCCATCTGGAGAGTGAAAGGAAAAAGATATTTCCAATTACAAATTGGATCACAGACCCCACCATATTATTTCAGCACAAATACACGAGGGGCTTGAGAACCTATCATAAAGTTAGTGGGTTATGGCAGAATTGGAAGAATTTAATATCCCAATCAGTCTTTAAATCCTAGTGAACTTGAAAAAATCAGTGTCATCACTGTGAAAAAAAACGTGGTTGGCATTCATTACCAAGTGGTGCTCAATTTATTTATCTCTGCAAATTCCATCATTTCACATAGCTTTCATAATAATAATAATTTGAATAATAATCCTAGCATTTGGTACACTGCGCCTTTCACATGTTATTTGTAGGTGAGCACGGCACAGAGTAATTAATGTCCCCTCTTTGATTATTAGCTATTAACTGGAGTTAGATTAGAAGATCAGCCATGATTGAATGGCGGGGCAGGCTCGAAGGGCCGAATGGCCTACTCCTGCTCCTACATGTTATGTTATGGTTGAACCAACAAAATAAATGTTTCTTCATTTAATATGTCTTGATTTGTGGCATAAACCTGCGCTATTTTGTGATATCTATGATTATTTTGTTGGCCAACCAAAAAAGATTGGCCATCACTGGGCTATACCAAATTGCAAACAAATTCTTCACCATTAATATTAGCTGTTTTTCAGTGAATGCCAGGAAGTGACTGGCAGCCTAGCCATCACCCAGGAAAGAGAAGACAAGGAAAATACTCACGCTGTCTTATCCACTTGCTGACGGATTTTCTTCACCGAGACTTTGATGTTGTACCTTATGCTGTTAAGAATGTTTTTAAAATACATCTTCTCATTTACTTCGAACTGAAAGAAAGAGCAACAACAATAATCATTTAGATGGGGCCCTTTGCACAGGATAGCGTCTCAGAGCACTGCCTGGTGATGCGGGTTGAACACCGAGCGAAGGAAAAGAGAAAGCAAGAGGTGGCCATGGGCCACAGTTCAGGAACCAGATGTTCATGAGGGATTTAAAGACAACAACAAATGACATTTATGTAGCTCCTTTCACGTCGGAAGGACGTCCCAAGGTGCTAGACAGTTAGAGGTTTGCACCCGAGCTGGAGGTTGAAATCAACAGCTGGAGGGTGTGGGGGTAGTGGAGTGTGGCCGAAGGCATGGCCAAAGAGGAGGGTCTTGAGATGGTCCTTGAAGGAAGCAAGAAAGGCAGAGGGTGGAGGCAGAAAAGCTAAACGCCGTCCACCAATGGTGGGGCGGGAAGCGCAGAGGAGGACATGGAACAGGCCAGTGCCCGCTGAGAATGTATGCGGATGACACCCAACTCTACCTCTCTGCCTCCACCCTCGACTCCAGGACCACTGCTGTCCTGACAGAATGTCTGTCAGTCATCAAGTCCTGGATGAGAGCTAACTTTGTCCAGTTGCACGTCAACAAGACCGAGGCCCTCCTGATTGGCTCCCGTCAGCACCTCCTCACTTCAGGTGCTGACAGCATCACCATCCATGGTTGCACACTTCACTTTGCTAAGCCAGTCCAGAACCTTGGGATCTTGTTTGACCCTCAACTATCCTTTCTACCCCACATCTGCCCCATGATCCGCTCTGCCTTCCCTCACCTCCGCAACATTGCCCGGCTCCGCCACTGTCTCATACCACAGGCTGCCGAAACCCTCATAGATGCCTTCATTACATCAATACTCGACTATGCAAACTTCTTGCTTGTCGGCCTCCCCAACTCCTCCCTCCACAGGCTGCAGATCATCAAGAACTCTGCAGCCCATGTCCTCTCCCACACCAGGCTCCGTGACCCTAACACCCCATCCTCCACTGGCTTCCCATCACACAGAGGATACAGTTCAAGATCCTGGTACTCACCTTCAAAGCCCTCTACAGTCTTGCTCCTCCCACCTCTCCGACTTCCTAATCCCCTACCACCCTGTTCGCTCCCGCTCAGTGGGCTCCGACCTGCTTCACATCCCCCGCCTCGCTCGCCCTATTATTGGCGGGCGGGCCTTCCGCCACTTTGCACCCACCTTCTGGAACTCCATCCCACAGTCCCTCCGACTCGCCCTCTCCCTCACCACCTTCAAGATCCACCTCAAGACCCTCCGCTTCGACCACGCTTTCGATCTCCCTGCTTCCCCCCCCTGCCCTCCACCCTCCCCCACCCCGACCCCCAGCTCAGGTCCATAATTCTGTCTGTCCAGTGCCTTGGGACGTCCTCCTGACGTGAAAGGCGCTATACAAATGTAATTTTGTTGTTGTTGTTGTTGATGAGCGGAGGAAGCAGACAGGTTGGTATGGTGTTAAGGGGTTGCAGATAAAGAGAGGCCAGGGTGGAAGGGGCTTTGACAGAGACAGCAAAATGATGGCACAAGGTGCCAAACATAATGATAGCACGCTTGCTTATAATGCAATTAGGTTATTAGGATACAAAGAAGGTTACAAAAAGCAGCTAAGGGCCAAAGAGTGCCCATCTTTAAATCAAAATATTATTAATACTCACGCCATATTCATTATCAACAGCTTCATTGATCAGCAGAAAGTCTGGGTAACCCACCATTACCATCATGTACCGAAGCTGCAGGTAGTAAAAGGACGTTTGATTTTAATATACAAAGGCTTCGATATTCCCCACTACTAAAACCAGCAAAAAACAAACTGAAAATTGTTGTTGAACTAATAATAATAATCCTTGCATTGATATAGCACTTTTCACGTCTTCTAGACGTCTCATAGCACTTCACAGAATGTACTGTAAAGTGAATTGACTGTATATTTGTGGGCGAAATCTGGCAGCCGCTTACGCACAGCAGCGTTCCACAAACAGTCATGGATTGAAGTGACCAATTTATTATAGTATTTTTTCTTGAGGGATTATTATCAAGCGTGTGGAGTAAGGAAACTTGTCCAAGGTTTTGCCCTCCCGGGAATCGAACCCAGGTCTCTCACTTGAGAGATGAATGCTCTAAACACTGAGCTACAGGACTCCTAATACTAGCTTGGAGAGAGAAGGGAGAGAGAGAGAGAGAGAGAGAGAAAAAGAGAGAATGGAGTGAGAGAATTCAGACAATTGAGGATGTACAATTGATGCTTAGGGCATTGTCCGATTATATAATTGTAATATACAGAAAAAATAGTCAATTCACTGTACAGTATATTCTGTGAAGCGCTTTGAGATGTCTTAACAACTTGATAAGGCACTGTATCAAATGCAAGGATTATTATTATTAATATTATTATTATCTTGTGGCCCTGGCGGGAAATCAAGGGTATTTGCTAGAGTCGATATGAGGATAACCTGCAACAAACTAAAAACCATCGTGACACAGTGTCTGAAACCGGAGAGCGCTTCGGAAAGTAGCAACACTGACCAGCAAACTATCAATAAAACTATAAGCGAATAAGTTGAAGGAATTTGATAAGATAAATGAGCAATGCGACAGAATTCGCCCTCTTTGTCATACACTCATTGTGAGAAATTACAGTCAAAATGTTAAATGCTTTTATGATAGCTTTGGCCAGACTGCCCTTTTGTTCCAATGCGTGTTTGGTATCAGATGGAAATAATTCAAACAGAACATACACTTGTAATCTAATTACAGAAAAGAACCAGCAATGATGTACTGTGATTGATCTCGGTCTGCCTTCACATCGAAACTAATTATCGAATGCAAAAATCCCTTATAAAACTACAATGTTATTCGGTACAGCTTAATGATATTTCTGTGGGATTACCACGGCAGACCTTGGCTTCTGCTGCTTTCTTTGTCTCAGCGTCCATCCAATCTAATTCTTCCAGCCGGCGATCAAATGCGTGCTTAACATCTTTGATGAGTTGTTGGACCTCATCAGAACAGAAATAAATCAAGAGTTAGGCAAGGTACAACTTGGTTTGGGTCATAACTCAAGACAATGAAAGCATTCTGCTACTATTGCTTGTATTATATATCGGGTGCTATATAAATGCAGGCTGTGTTATCAAATCTGCTTCCACCAGCCTTTCACACAGCTCATTCCAGAATGTAAGAAATAAGAACATAAGAATTTGTGGGGCAAAAGAAGACCAAAGTCCATCCTGTTCCCCTTCCACCATCCTGGCAGTCGCTTGACATGTCGTGTCTATATAATATATCCCGACATATTATTTTCTACCACAAATCGATCTAATTTGTTCTTGAAACAAACAGCAATTTCTGCTTCCAGCATCCCCCAAGGGAGCCTGTTCCATACATTTATCACTCGCTCACAGAAGAAGTATTTTCTGAATTTACCCCCTTCAATAGAATCACAGGGGAAATTGTCCGTCATGTGGGGTAGCGTCCCGGAGCCCTTCACAGTGGCGGAATCTGACCCCGAGCCAGGGGAAGAGGGGAGGTGACCGTAAGCACAATCGGAAAGTAAGGTGTTTAAACTGAATTTGAAGGTGGGGAGTGAAGGAGCAAGACGGAGAGATTGAGGGAGAGAGTTCCAGAGTTTCGGGGCGTAGTGGCTGAAGGCACGGCCCCATAGTGGAGCGGAGGGCATGAGGGACAAAAAGGAGGCCGGAGCCAGCCGAGTGTAGGCAGCAGGTGGTGGAGTGGGGGGTAAGCAAATCGGATAGGTAGGGAGGTGCGGAGGCAAAAAGTGATTTGAATGAGAGGATCTATATAATATAGATATATTATATAGAGGATCTATATAATATATCCCGACATATTATTTTCCTTTCGGTTATTGGGAACCAGTGGAGCCTGGCAAGGACTTGTGTGATGGGGGTACGGAGTTTCGTGCAGGTGAGTATCCGGGCGATGGAGTTTTGAATGGATTGGGTTTTGTGTATGGTGGAGCTTTAAAATGTAACTTTGATAAAATGTTAAAGTGCTAAACATTCCCGGCTTCACATCTGGAACCTTGATCTTAACGGGAGAAATCTTTACTTTTATTTTGCTGTTGGACGAAAAATATTCTTCGACAAAAAGCGCCCCCAGGACCATCCCGAACTGCTTGTTGGCCTGGTTCAGGCATATTTTCCCCAGGTCCATGGGCTTTTCTGTGCCGTCCAGCTCTTTGGAGAACTCGTGTATGGCATCCCTGAAAGGGGTGGACAGATGCTCGCTTAGACCCACCACGATTCGCCAGATCACGTAATTGTGCAGGATCCTGAAAGTAATAATAATAATAATCCTTGCATTTCATATAGAGCCTCGAGGTAAACTTGCCTACTGTGTCACCTTGCTCAGGAATTAAACCCGGGTCCTCTTGCTTGCAAGGCCAGCACGCACTCTCCTAAGTTACAGTGACTCCAACAGTCCAGAACAATCACCGTTTTAACAGCAATTGACACCAGCTCACCATTTAGAGTTACTCCTCTGATATAGTCGAGATACCGGCTTTCGTTAGTCATCAACAGAACCATCATCTATTTCTGTAGCCCACTCTATCCGCTCCTTTGACCAACCAAAGCTAAAGTCCTATATCAAGCCAGTTATGTAGCGGTCTGACTTGTGCCCTGTGTTAACTTTATGAGAGCATGTTGTACTCAGAAATTTGCAACAAGAGTCACTCACAGCAATCGTATTGGTAACTGAAGTACGTCATAATTCCTTGCAGGAACTAAGTTCCAACGCAATCTACTCCTGGAGGATAGATCCACTTCCATTACTGGTGTGACTGCCCTATATGTGTGGCTAGGATTCCTTATAAAGGGACCCCATTGAACACATTAACTATCCTCCCGATGTGAAAGGCGTTCTATAAAAACAATTTGTTGTTGTTGTTGAACGTAAACTAGAGCCTTGCATCGCTGCCCTAATGTACTTATCATTTGAGGTGTGGGAGGCAGAAAGCCTGTGCCACTGTAGAAAATCTTGCTCATTTCATTCACATGTTCACAAACAAATTAATTGGAGCCACACATTTTGCACGATCTGACATTTAATTCCATCACTGAGATAGAATAAAAGAAGCATTGGGATGGAAAATTGTAGAGTAGACCATTCGTTCTAATTGGGATACACTCTCTGTAGCTTATAAACTATCAAGCCTTCCTGTCTAATGGAGTATCTTTGAATCCTACTCACCACTGAGCCATTCTCTGTTAATTACCCCTGACACCCACACACCAGTTAAGCACCAATAACAGTAATTACAGACAAAGTGAATGGACTGCAGAATATTAGTTTTGTTCGGCAGCAATTTAGACCAGCACTAGGTTTGCCATTGCACTCAGTGTTAAGAATCTTTGCATGATTTGTATTTACCCAGCCATCTCTCACATAAACAATGCCAACAAGTTACAGATCAGAAACGGCTGCTAATAAAAGCGAATATTGCGCAGTCGAACACAGCAGCTAATCACACCAGCGAGCAAATTCACCCGAGATGAACAGCACAACTGCAAAGCAGCCCTATTATAAAGTACTTCACTATAACATTTATAATGCAATTGCACTGTGGAACCCGAAGATAATAATAATATTACTAATAATATAATAATCCTCACATTTGATATAGCGCCTTATCACATCATTGAGAAGTCTCAAAGCACTTCCTTCACAGAATATACTGAAAACTGAATTGACTGGGTATTTTGTGAGCGATCCACCAATCGACTAACAACCGGGTTCCTACTTATTGCTGGGTAAACAGAGGCTTGTGGAGTAAGGAAACTTGCCAAAAGTTTCGCTCCACCCAGGAATCGAACCCAAGTGCTTTTGCTTGCGAGGCGAGTGCTCTAACCACTAAGCTACAGAACCCCGCAAACAATCACTGCATATATATGCAACCAACCCAAGTCACTGGGTGACTTTTCATGCTAAAACTAAAACAAAAAAACTTGCATTTGATATAGCGCCTTTCAATTCAGCAGTACATCTCAAAGTGCTTCCCAGGATTTACTGTGAAGTCTAGTCACTGTTCATCGGGTCACTGATAACGTTACTTCTTGCTTTGTGGGTGCACTGAAGACAGGATGTGGAGTTGGCAGTGAACCGATGAACAGGAAGTCGGCCATTTATTCCCTTAACGCGTAGTGGTGCAGCGTGGGGTCAGATTCTATGGATCAAAAACATCTCATTATAAAAGGGCTCCTCTGTACTTTAAACCTAGGGGTAAATTTGGCGGTGGAAGGGAACTTAAGACAGAAAAACACAAGAAAAAGACTCCCTAATTCTTTCAAACAGAGGATGGTCCCTTTAAATCTCCTGTATCAAAAGGCGGACGGTAACTAAATTAAATGACACAATATAAAGAAAGGCCGATGATCTGGGTTGTCTCTCACCTGGGAGGCGTACTGGACATGAGCTCAGATACTTTCTGCATGTAATCAGTGGCGAGCACCACAATTTCATCATCCTCTGAAAAAGTATCGTGAAAGATCCTCCCCAGTAGACGCTTCCAATGAGGCTGCAATGAACAACATCAGTAAATAACAATAATAATAATAATAATAAAAACCTTACCCTGCATCAAGATACCTTTTCGTGTCAAGAGGACGTATCAAAGCGTTTACCGATTAAGTGCAGTGACTGTATATTTGTAGGCAAATTGTATCTCACAAACAGCCATGAAAAGAATAAAGAATTTTATTTGGGTGATTGTTATCCATGACACTGGGAGAAACTCCCTTCTGCTTTCAAATAGCGCCGCAAGATCTTTAACGTCCACCTGAACAGGCAGATCGTCTCAACCAAAGGACGGCACCACCGAGTAGCACTCAATACCTTTCACTGTAAAAGATTGGAGTCAGGACGACTGGAAACACACCAACGTGTACTCACGGTTGGGGCAATGCGCTGTAACTCTCTCAAGGTGATCTTGTTGTACATTGTGTTGATGTCCCTCCTCAGAGAATCCGACTCGGAAATCGTGATCTTTGGATGGTTTTCAGAAACGTAGATATGGCAAAAAAAAGAGACAATTTACCAGGTTGCTCAACAACAACTTGCATTTATATAGCGGCCCTCGCACAGAGTAGCGTCCCAGAGTGCTTGACAGTGGCGGAGCACAATGCCGAGCCGAGGGGAGGTGACTGTGGGCACGGTCGAATAGTGTGACCTGAAAGATGAGGAAAGAAGGGGCAAGGCGGAGGGATAGAGAAAGAGTGTTCCAGAATTGCTCATTTGGAAAGCACAAATAATGATCATTAGGTGGCATTATTTGTCTTTGTTGGGAACACTCAACTCTCATCCACTGTGTTAGGCCACCACACTCTTAGGTCTATCGAGAATGGATAATGCAAGCTCAATATACAATCTCTTAATACAATCAATTCACTTTACAGTAAATTCTGTGAAGCGCATTGAGACGTCTCAACCATGTGGTAAAGGCGCTATATCAAATGCAAGGATTTTTATTATTATTATTATTATCGCCTCGCAGAAACATCTCAAAGTGCTTCTCTGTTTAGAGTTGCCAAGTCCCTTACATCCATATTACCTCTTGGCCAGAAATAGTATGTGGCACAGGGAATCCGAAGAATCAGTGAACAGAATGGGTGTAAGTAAAATACTTCAACGAGAGCGAGCGGTTAGGAGGTTTGTAAGACCATTTCACATCGGTTCAAGATCACATTTTTCTCCCATCTCAGATGGGGAGAGAAGGGGAGGAAATAAATTGTGGACCTGAGTGCCACTGCTCTGATATTGTACATTGCTACACTGACAGTGCACTGAGCTGAGAGACCCTTTGACAGATGATGTTGGGTGTCTTGGAACTCTTATCATCATCCATCCTGATCTTGTTTTCTACTGAACGGTGTCGATATTCTCGAGGCTAATCATTGATCGATTGGCTTCCTCCCCCAAGCGATCCCTGATTTCGAATTCATGAACCAGATTTGAAATTGCCAAATGAAATGGGGGCAAATGGTGTAACACGACCACCCCCTCCATCTCCCCAAAACACCAATCTTTACACCAACTTCACTGATCGTTGGGGCTAGCACATTTTAATTACCTTCTAAGTCCTTACTTTTTCCTACGTCTTTAACCTTCTAACTCCATATAGACCTGTCTGCTCCATTCCCTCAGGAGGCTCTGGCCTGCTCCATGTCTCCACCCAGCCCGCCCCACCATCAGCGGGCGGGCCTTCAGCCTCTCTGCCCCCACCCTTTGGAACTCCAGCCCACAGTCCCTTTGACTTGCCCCTTCACTTGCCTCCCTCAACGCCCATCTCAAGACCCTCCTCTTTGACCTTCTACCCCCACTCTTCCTGCCCTCCACCTCTTCTGATCCCAACCCCCAGCTCAGGTTGTTGTTGTTGTTGTTGTAAAACCCTGACTGTCAAGAGCCTTGGAATGTTCTCCTGACGTGAAAGGAGATATACAAATGTAAGTTGTTGTACTTCTTACATTTTACTGATAAATCTAGCCAACCTAATACAGTTTTGGTCTACCTTTATGATAATTTCACTTGGATCGAAAGTAGCTTCAGTGGTGATAAATCATCCTATTGCAATAACTTCACATCCTAGGACACTCGAAGGACATTCACTGAAGTCTGTGATACACCAAGCATCATAACTCTGAACAATTTTTTTATCTAGGTTTCTTTTGTAGTATTCCATAAGTCTTTATTATGAACGACAATTATGACTGTAATGAAACTGCAAAAACACGAATAAATTTTGAATTGATTCGCATCAAAACTTTATAATAATCGGTGTACAATTTACTGCTTTACTTACATTTGCTAGTTGGGTCTCTAATTGTAATATTTCTTCGGTCTTCTGTTTGGCATCATCTGCACCAAGGAGACTTACCAATTTTTCAATCAGGGTTTTGTAAACTGCCAAAATCTGTCCGACAAAAACATTGGGGGAAGAGGGCGAAAATAAATGGATAGCTTTCATACACAAAAGGATATCTCAAAGCGCTTCGCAAAGCCAGGTGAATTACAAAATACACATTTATTTTACGTCGCCAAACATGGTAGCTAATTTGGGTCAGGCAAGTCCCACAAACAACAGTCTCGGCTAACACTCAGCACAGTGCTGGGTGGTGTGCCACAATTGTTGGAGGTGCCGTTCTTCTGATGAGACTTTAAGCCAAAGTCTGTGCCTGTTAAGGTGCATGTTAAACATCCCGTGGCACTATTCAAAGAGTGACGGAGGATAGAATATTTAGTCCACCTGATTCTCAGGAACCTTCATGTCTGTTTGTATGACGCCACTGTGCGCAAAATTAGTTACTGCATTCGCCTACAAAATAAACAGTCACTGCACTTCACAGCAAAGTGCTGTGAAGCCTTTTGAGAAGTCTGGACGACATACTAAGGCGCCCTGTCAAATGCAAAGTTTGCCAGATAGCGATGGCAATTGAACTACACGGTTTTAGCTGGTTAGACTCCAGCAGTTACCCCAACGCACACTCTGGGGTCCAGAAGCCTTGGCTCTTGCCAACCTGCGCCTAATACTTTCCAGAAGTAGTTAAGCGGGATGTGTCCCTCCAGGGAGAATGCATTCCATTCCAACAATCTATCTCTGGAAATCCCAAGGGTAGATGGGATGCATGGAAATCTTAACTTGGTTTGGATACTCTTAATGGATCCTGGTGATGGGTTTCCCCATGTGTCAGACACCACAAAAAAAATCGAATGCAAGAATTCTTAATTTAATAACTTTGAAGGCTAATAGTTCCAGGTTTATTGAGGGTATTTATTGACTTTTTGGGGGCCAATTTGTGGAGCTTTCCTTCCTGGGCAGAAATAATTCAGAGCAGGAGTAAATCTAGTACCCCAAAGGTAGAAAGGTCACATCACGCCTGAAGCTAATAGTAGACATAAATATGAAGACATGACTCGTTTTACTACGTTATTCACAATGCTCTCAATTCATAATTATTTTCTGAAGAATTCTGAAGAACTCTACTCTGCTTCTGTGCAAAAATTTCTTTCTATATCCACTTTATCTATTCCCTCCATTATTGAAACACTTAAGTTACATCCTTAATAGCTTTTCACTTCCTTAGATGCATTTTATAACTCAACGGGATGAAACCTCTAGTGAACTTTGTTGCCCTTGTCTAATCCCTTGCTAGAGCCACTAAATTATATACCAAGTGCAATTGATTGCAACCAGAACAATACAGCAATATGAGATCCAATACTTGGTAAAAATACAGTGTGACTTTCTTGGTCGGGGCTGTGTGTATATATATATATATGTAATATATATATACACAGTATATACGTGGTGTGCTGCAACTTACTGGTTAGAGTACTCGCCTCGCAAGCGAGAGGACTTGGGTTCGATTCCCAGGCAGGGTGAAACGGTGGGCAAGTTTCCTTACTCCACACACCTGTTTACCTAGCAGTACATAGGAACCCGGTTATTAGTGGATTGGCGGATCGCTTTTCCGGAGATAATGACCATTCAAAAAAAAAAAAAAAATTTGCTCACTCAATCTACGACTGTTTGTGGGACACTGCTGTGCGCAATTGGCTGCGCATATCGCCCACAAAATATACAGTCAATTCACTTTACAGTATATTCTGTGAAACGCTTTGAGACGTTTCGAAGACGTGATCAGGCGCTATATCAAATGCAAGGATTATTATTATTGTAACAGTGCTCCAATTTTCACTTGCATTGTTTAGCAAAGGTTAATGTTTAAAAATGTATCCTGAGCCCCTTATTTAACACCGGGCCTTCATTTTGTAACAGCCTTTCAAATCGATATCAGTCATCTTACATTTCCCCAAATTAAAAGCCATTTGTTTCCTGGAAGACTCAGGTCCCAGCTCTGACCTCTGGGGGGTGCTCTGCTGCCCACAGCTATCCAATTGGACTTACTGCCATTGATCACACCCTTCGTGTTTCCTAGTATACAGCCAATTTACAACATCCTCTTTTATCCCCTGAGCTTTCACTATAGTTGCAATTACATTCAGAGGCACCTTATTGAATGCTTTCCAAAAGTCAATAACTAACATCCACCACACTCCCCTGCTCCACCAACTGTATATCGTTCCAACTTCTCTCAATTCAGCATTTGACTGTACCGTATAATAGGTGAGTTTTTAATTGCAACTCTTAAATTAGACTGTACAGTATTTGGTGGGATTATACAGGTTATTGGATATTTTAGTGTACCAAATACAATCTATTGCTTCCTTTGCAAATGGTTAAGAACTGAAAAATCAACATTGATGAATAACACACACGGAATCGGTACGGGGTTGACAGCCTTTGAGTTCTGCCTTTGAGTTCTACGGAGATAACCAAAATCTATTGCAATGGGGAAAAAGACTGTGGATAAATTGCCTAAGCAGCAGTTTATTAACAAAACCCTTTGTTAAAGTGAGTAACATGCCGTAGTTAGAACAACACACAACAGATCTGAGATGCAGCCTTGCACGACGTGAATGCCATTTAGTTCTCGGTCTGATCGTAGATTAATTCCTTCATTGGTTGATCGCTTTCCGAGGTTAATAACCCCTCAAAAAAAAGAGTTGCTCAATCCACATAGTGGGGCACTGCAGTGCACAATTCGCTGCTGTGTTTCGCCCACAAAATACACATTCAATCCACTTCACAATATATTCTGTGACGCGCTTTGAGGCGTCTCAACAACGTGATAAGGCGGTATATCAAATGCAAGGGATACTTTTATTATTATTATTTGACATTTGGATTCTGAGATATAAAGGGATATTGTGGCTACATTTTCAGCCTGTGTTGTGTCCAAGCAAGGTTGGAGGAAGCAGTTACTGAGCTTTTTACATTAGGATAGAAATGGTCTTTTTGAAAAAAAGATTCATAGCTTTGGGGAAAGCAGCCAGCGGACCAAACAAATCAAATCAAATGGGATTTAGTTCTTCATCACTCCGAGGGGTATGGTAGCGTTGAGATTTAGTGTCAATTATTTTTAATACTGCTATGATCAAGTTTAATTCATGTAACGTCACAGCATCTCATAGTAATTGCTGTCTGGTGCAGCTGCTCTATGTCTGTGTAATTCTTGCACACAGAAAAGTCCCACAAATAGTCATGTCATGAAGGCAAGCGATAATTAATCGGTGGGGGTGCGGAGGGATTGTTGGCTAGGTCACTAGGAGAAACTCTCTTCTCTTTTCAAATAGTCACCTTAACAGGCAAAGAGGACCTTGGTTTGATGCCTGATCCCACCTACAACATGTTTGCCAACTGCAGTGCCCCCCCATCATTGCCATGGTACATCAGCCTAGACGGTGAACTCAAAGTTCCCATATGAACCCACAAGCTTCTTACACAGAGGATGAATGCTGACGACTGAGCCAAGCTCACTGAAGCAATACTCAAACTCATTCTAATTGAGTTGGGATCTTTCTCACCTATTAACCCCAAGGATAGAAAGGGAGGAAGATGATTTATGTAGGAAATATCACAGAATGTTTATGAAATACATATTTTCCTTTTGTTGCATCTCAGTAGCGTGTACATCGAAAGGATTCAAAGCCCTTCAGAGTGAATACCGTAGTGTAGTGACTGTTTTTCTAAGCAAACAAGACAACAACAACATGCATTTATATAGCGCTCTTCATGCCGGGTGGCATCTCAGAGCGCTTAACAATGGCGGAGCCCGATGCCGAGCCAGGGGGAGGGGGAAGGTGACCGTAGCTCCGGTTGAAGAGGAAGGTCCTCAGGCGCAACCTGAGGATGGGGAAAGAGGGGGCGAGGGGATGGGATTGAGGGAGGGCGATCCATAACTTCGAGGCATAATGCCTGAAGGCACGGCCACCGATGGTGGAGCGGAAGATTCGAGGAACGTGAAAGCGGCCGGAGCCAGTAGAGTGGAGGCAGCGAGGAGACGGGAAGTTGGAGAAATAGGGGGGTGTCAAGGAATGGAGGGATTTAAACACAAGAGTGAGGATCTTGAAGTTGACCGCTTTGTGGCAGGGAGCCAGTGGAATTTGGCAAAGACTGGGGTAATCGGGGTACGGACTTTGATGTGGGTGAGAATGCAGGCGGCGGAGTTTTAGGTGAGTTGAATTTTGTGACTAGTGAAGGAAACAGCCGTTTTGCGCAGGGTAAAGTCCCACCAAAAAGCTGTGAAGAAACCAGCCGGTTTATTGGAAGGTGTATTGGCCTGGACACCAAAAGAAACTCCCTCTCTCTTTTTTTGAATAGTGCCATGAGATTGTTAACGTCCACCGGAAGAAAAAAAGCTAATTTGTTAACAATTCCATTAAACTTGAATCAATGAATAATAAACCTATGTGCAAAATAATAATAAGTCTTTCTGCAAAATAAACATCTTCAATTTCTTTATAAAATAGTCATTAGAAGCAAATGTAATATTGTTACGTTTGAAAAGCTTACATTGTTTGAAGCTAGGTTTTTTTCTCCCCTTTTAAATCTACTTATAGAATCATAGAACCTTACAGCACAGAAGGAGGCCATTCGGCCCATCTTGTCTGTGTCGATATTTGAAAGAGCTACCCAATTAGTCCCACTCCCCCGCTCTTTCCCCAGAACCTTGCAATTTTTTTCCTTTTCAAGTATATATCCAATTCCCGTTTGAAAGTTATCATTGAATCTGCTTCCACCAGCCTTTCATGCAGTGCATTCCAGACCATAACAACTTAACAACTCTCTGTGTGAAAACACTTCTCATCTTCCCTCTGGTTCTTTTGTCCAATTATCTTAAATCTCAGGTTACCAACCCACCCGCCAGTGGCAACAACATCCCCTTATTAACTCTCATAATTTTGAACAGCTTCATTAAATCTCCCCTTAACTTAAAAGCTCTACAGTTTTTTTTTACCTTTTCACTTTCTTCATCTTGCCCAAGGTAGAGTGATCGTTCAGGGAGTGTGAGTCCATCTTGATCAATCTGCGAGAGAGTTGCGAATGCATTATTGACATGAGTTTTTCACACTGAGCCATTCATCTCCATGTTAATTACATCTTTTACTCCAACAAGATGCACGAGGCTGTGGTTCATAATTTTTCTGCTGTTCTTTGAATTGAATGCTCCATCACTTACACGTTTGAATTATTGCATGTGAATATTTATGAGGCCGGCAATGAGTTTGATCCACAATTCTATAGTTTTAATTCTATAAATTCAACCGATACAATGCCAAAAATTGCCTAGTTACGATCGCTGTTGGCCTGAAAAAGTGGAAATTCTCAAAAACAAAAAAGAGAAAGACTTTGGTTTTACAGAATGAAGATTAAAAACGTGACCAGGTGTACTATTTCACGAGAGAAATGATTATTTGTCAACAACTTGTTGGACTCTTACAAAGAACCGTTGCCTAAATCACATCTTATCTCATAATAATAATCCTCGCATTTGAGAAAGCACCTTTCACCTCAGGGTGACGTATCAAAGCACTTCACAGCGAGTAAAGTGTAGTGGCTGTGTGTTTTATAGACAAATGTGACAGCCAATTTGCACAATATCCTCCAAACAGCCAGAGGATTCTTGACCAGGAACCGGGAGAAACTCCCTTCTCTTTTCAAATAGAGTCGCGGGATTTTTAACATCCACCTGAACAGGCAGACAGGTCCTTGTTTTAACGTCTCATCCGAAGGACACTCCAGCATGGAGTCTTATCTTAGACTATGTGATTCCAAGTCCCGACATGGGGCTTGAACCCACAGCCATCTGACCCAGAGGCGAGAATGTGACTGACTGAGCCAAGCTGACACCTGAAAGAAAAGTTTCTAAGGTTAAAATAAGACTATATATTTCGAAATAAATGTTAAATAGCGTGGCCAATGGGATGTCAGGAGTTTGAAGTATTACTTCTGTCTAGCCACAGCGTTAATGTAGATATGCTATAATACAAATGATTAATCTCTCACTGAGAAAAGAAACTGCTTAAATTATGTTTGCATTAGAGGAAGCGAGATTTTAAAACGCCTTCCCTTTGACAAAAGGCTAATTTGAAATTGCTTTTGTTTTAGAAGGCACAAGAGGTAAAGCAGTATTATACTGAGGTTACGAATAAAGCCAATTTTAATCCAACATTGTTTGTGGCACTCTACTGTGTGAAATTGGCTGCTGCGTTTTGCCCACAAAATACACGGTCAATCTACTTCATAGTATATTCTGTGAAGCGATTTGAGGCGTCTCAACGACGTAATAAAGACGCTATATCAAATGCAAGGATTATTATTATTATTTGGAGGGAGGCTGTAGATACAATATTGTGCGGTGGGGTGGGGAAAAGAAATTCCACTTTGGTCTAAACTTTTTATCCGAGCACGAAATAATAATCCTTTCATTTAGTAATAATAATCCTTGCATTTGACATAGCACCTTATCACATCTTCGAAACATCTCAAGGAGCTTCACAGTGTATGCTGTAAAGTGAATTGACCGTATATTTTGTGGGCAAAAATATACAGTAGATTTGGTACTGCATAATGCCTTATCACGCTGGAAGGCACAGAGTTGGGAAGAGGCAAGGTTTGGTGGGCCCTCGAGGATGGGCTAAAACTACATAGCTTTCCATTGAGAGCGCTGTCTGGCAAGTTTTCCCTCAGCTTATCCTGCTAGGACAAGCCTACCCATTGAGGCTCCTGCTTCCGGGGTCAACAGGAGATATGGGGGAAGGTGGGGATACAATTTGCCACTATAACTTAGATTTGAATGGTCCACGGATGGCGTGGACACTTCCCTCCCCACCCACCTTTTCCCTCCTCATCCCCCCCGTTACGTTCAAAGCAATTTCATTAATGTAGAAAGATGGCAAAAAGCATTCAATAACAGGATGGGATGTCAGGCAATATTTGATGATCTGAAGGCTAATAAACACCCGATGTGAGATTTATGAGAAAGCAGTGGACAAGAGAATGTGGAATGAGGTCAGTAAATCACCAGTTTGATTATTATCTTTGTTGAACAAAGGGCTGTGTATTACTGTGCTTACCCATGACCTTCCAGCTTCACCCCGCTTAATAAACGTGTTCCACCCTACAAAATACCGGTTGTGTTACAGAGATTGCTCTGCCTGACTCGGGGGAGAGAGGGAAGGCAGGGAGAGACAGGCTGTCACTTTCAATACCCAGTAACTCACTCTCAGTTTCCTCCCAAGATCAGAGCCTCTCGCAGGAAGAAAAGATGTAAGCAAAGATTATAACTCTCGTCCCTTCCTAATATCCCTCGATACCACATAGTTTTTCACTGCCATAAAAAAAATAGAGGTCAAGGGCACAAAACGATACGTTTGCCAGATGGACGCAGTTGATAGATTAACGACACGAACGTACATTTAACACAGCACCTTTCATGTCGGGAGGTGCTTAACAATCCCAGCACGGCACCCGAGCTCAGGGTGGAAGCGGAGGTCGGTAGAGAGGGGAAAGATGGCCAGAAGAGCGGTTAAAGTGGTAAGTCTTGAGGCAGACCTTGAACGAGAGAGGGAGTCAGAGGAACACTCCCCCCCCCACACAATTTCTTTAATTACGCATTGACCTTCAGGTTAGATTTGATTATTTACAACACCCCAATGCTATACAAGGTGCCATTCACAAGCAAATTAAATCTAAGTGGAACCAATGGATCTAAAGTTTCCTGTGGTTGTAGTTGTACAGTAATCCCTTTTTCTCGCAGGGCGCACAGAAATTTCTAGATCCGACCATCTCGATCGAAACACAATTTTCATTCCCTTTGTTTTCTTTGTAGGAAAGACTTCCATTGTGAATGGTTCAATGTATCTAAAGAGGACAGAGCACCGAGCATTACCGGGTGAACTCCAACCAATCGGACAAGTGCAATCAGCAGTCCTCTAGTTTGTATTAAATATAATAACCTTTGCATTTGATATAGCCCCTTATCACCTCTTCGTGACGTCTCAAAGCGCTTCATAGAATATACTGTGAAGTGAATTGACTGTATATTTTGTAGGCGAAACACAGCAGCCAATCGTGCACAGCAGCGTCCCACAAACAATCGTGGATTGAAGTGATCCAGTCTATTATTATTATTTTTTTTGAAGGAATTATTATCCTCGGAAAAGTGATTCGCCAATCAACTAACAACCGGTTCCTATTTACTGCAGGATAAACAGAGGCGTGTGGAGTAAGGAAACTTGCCCAACATTTCACCCTGATGGGAATCAAACCCAGATCTCTGGCTTGCGAGCCAAGTGCTCTAACCAGTGAGCTACAGGACTCCATATTAAGTCTGATTTCAGTTTGCTGTGTGAAAAGTTAATGTTATGGAATGATAACAAATAATAACCATCATCCTTGCATTTGATATAGCGCCTTGTCACACCTTTGAATGCCTCCGAGTGCGGTTTACTGTAAACAACAATAACAAATTACATTTGTGTAACGCCTTTCACGTCAGGAGGATATACAAGGCGGTGGACATTCAGGGATCTGTACCCGAGCTGGTGGTTGGGATCAGGAGAGGTGGAGGGCGGGGAGGGTAGGTGTAGGTAGTAAAGTGCGACAACTGTGCATTTTTTTTTAAGAGACAGAGAAGGGAATGTCACTGACCATGTATGCCCATGGAATCACAAGGAGGAGAAACCAGGGAGAGGGGAACAGTTTGTCACGGCGGCTAATTCGGTGACACTCCATCCCGCGTATTCAACCACAGCAGCAACTAATTACATTTGTTTCGTACCTTTCACATCGGGGAAAAAAGGAGACAGTTGTCTCTCTCTCTCTCTGTCTCTCACTCCTGGGGTCCTGGTCAACAATCCTCCAAATAAAATCAGACACTCAGTCCACAACCTTTTGGTGGGACAGTACTGTGCGCAATCGTGCTGCTGCCCGCAAAACACACAGTCACTACACTCTACACTATAACACCGTAAAGCGCACGGAGACGTTATAAGGCATGATATCAAATGCAAGGATTATTATTCATGCTGAGTATTATTAATAATAATAATAACTACTTATTATTACGACCAGACTTACCCTGATCACGTTGCGGGAAGAGTTCTTGTCATCCACGTTGATATTGAGCGTGAAGAAGGCCGCCGCGCTGTAGACACCTTGAGCTTTGTACAAGAGTTCATCCAAACTCCAGCGGGACCTTTTGAGGTTGACCAGGAGGTCCCAGCCCCCGCAGTCCTGGATGATGTCCAGCATCGGCTGTGCCCCTCGCCTCTCGATCTCCTCCAGGTCCATGCAGGACCTGTAGAAGTCCTTGACCTTCCTCTCGGCCGACCACCGGGACCGTCTCCTGATGGGTTTCTGCAGGAGCCTCTCCAGCTTGGCTTGGTTCTGCTGGGCGATGGCGCTGACAGTGCCATAGCTCAGCTTGTCCTCGGGGATCCCATGCCTCCTTAGCCAACCCCCGCACGAGAAGGTGTAGAAGTCGGTGCACGGGTCCACGGTGGAGTCGATGTTGCTGGCCACCAGCTTGGCTGCCTTGTTGGAAGCTCCTCGGTTGCGGTTGCACTGCTCCCGACAGCGGTTGTGGTCCTGCTCAGACACCAGGTACTTGAGTAACAATGTCCCGGCCAGGATGACGCACAGTCCAGTGGCGAACACCAGCCCAGAGAACAGGCAGATCTCCTTCTTGCTCCACCTGTTAGCCTTGTCCTTGCCAGCCTTGCCCGAGCCCCTCTCCTGCTTCTGAGAGCCCACGTGGAGACTCAGGCCGTTGTGCAGTGTGCCCGAGCTGAATCTGTTCACGTATTTAACTTCCTGAAACTCATCGTAGTGAGCTGTCAGGGAGTAAGTCTTCTCCATGTCCATCTTAGGGCACTGCATTCATAGCGAGAGAGAGAGAAGAGTTCAGTTGTTATTTTTTATATATGTATAACATAAACCCTTCCCATCGCTTCTGCCTCCACTGTGTGGATCTTGCAAAAGTGCCGAGGGTTTCAAGTGGAGGAGGTTTTTGATTCAATCCAGGTAGCAATCTGAACTGCAAATCAGCCACCTACCACTCACAGCTCTCTATGTCTCTCTCTTGAGCTTTCTCTCTCTCTCTCTCTCTCTCAGTCTCTGTTTCTCTCTTGATTTCCCCCTCTCTCTTTCTCTCTCAGTCTCTGTCTCTATCTGGAGCTCTCTGTCTGTCTCTCTCTATCTGGAGCTCTGTCTGTCTTTCTCTCTCTCTGGAGCTCTCGACCTCTCTGTGGAGTTCTCTCTGGAACTCGGTCTCTCTTTCTCTCTCTCTGAGTCTCTCTCTCTCTTTCTCTCAGTGCTGATCTGAATGACTGACAGCCCCTCTGCCGCTCCTACACAAGCTGCTTTCATCTGGACTGTAACAACCTTATAATAATCATATATAATAATCCTTGCACTTGATATTGCACCTCAATTCATCTAAACTCCTGGGTGGTAAAAACTGCTAAATACAAAGAGTACAATGCACATACACAATATCATTACAGCTACATTAAACTACAATTGCCACAAAAGTTCAACGCCACTAGCAAACATACAACATACGACAAACAGCAACAAACATAATATATTTATATTTCAATATATTTATCATTTATTAGTATTATTTTGCATTAACATTAACGTCTTTCACATCGAGATATTGAGTTTGTAATTATTACACCACTGTACATCACCTTTTTTTCTTAAAAAGTTGTGGATTTTGCTTATAATTTCTTATTTTTAAGAAGAGAACCAATAGCAGGGATGATGGCGTACGAGTTTTAGACACATGCACGAGGACTGAAAACGTACTTACAAATTTTTGCCTTCCCCCCTTTCACCTCAAAAGAAAAGATCAGAGTAACGAGATTGAGAAGACGAGTGAGAATCAGTCTTCAAACTAACCTGTGTCAGACTTTGTACGGTTCAAGCAATGTAGACCCCACGGTGAGGGTTTCACAGTTAATATCAGCTGCACACCTGGACTGTGATCTACCAGAAATGTTCAGCGAATGTCCAAGTGTACTCTATGCTAACTCAGAGAGCCAGTACAACCCACTGTCCATTGCAACAGCGCAGAACATTAACACTCAGCGAGCACTGCACACAGATACAATGCAGATTAAATTATAAATATTTACAAAGAGGAAACACAATGATGCAGGGTTGGCGGGGGGGTTGGGGGGTGGAACTTTACTGCTCCATTACCCCGTGTTTTAGAAATTTAGTCAAAAGTCAATCTGCAGTTGTAATTATGAAAATGGCAATGCATTATTCATAGAGCGATGATTATAGACTGTTTAATCGTTTTCTGGTTAATTGACTTTTTTTGTGATTTCAAGTAAACCATCATTAATGATCCAAACGGTTTACCATTCGTTCAGTGTAAATCTGTTCTTGAAAACAAAAGTCACATCTAGGGAAAAGTTGGGAATGCAAATAAATTACACATTAAATAAAGGCATTTAAAATCCCAACAATATCGATTTAAATTGGAGTTGAGGTACAGATCAGCCATGATCTAATTAGAATGACGGAACAGGCTCGAGGGGCTGAATGGCCTTACTCCTGTTCCTATGATCCAACAATAAGGCAACACGCAGGTGCAGCAGTTTACGGTTTTATTCGGATTTATTCTGAATCCCAAGTTGTTGTAAATTGTAATTACCGCAGTGTGACTCGCCAATCAACCCCGAGCGAGGTGTGGTTACTTCCACCAACTAATCCCAAATGATAATTAGACCAAACAAATTGGTTGCGAAATGTCGCATTTTTGGCATCCATTGCTCCGAGGTTTTTTTGTTCCTCACAAAATACACAGTCACTACACTTTACAGTATATTCTGTGAGCGCTTTGAGACGTCTCAACGATGTGATAAGGCGCTGTATCAAATGCAAGGATTATTATAATATATAATATATTATAGTAATAATAATCCTTGCATTTGATATAGCACCTTATTATGTCAATCGACTAACATCGGGTCCCTACTTACTGCGAGGTAAACAGGCGTGTGGAGTAAGGAAACTTGCCCAATATTCCACCCTGACGGGAATCGAACCCAGGTCTCTTGCTTGCAAGGCAAGTGCTCTAACCACTGAGCTGCAGGACTCCATTATTATCATCACAAAAAGGTGCTTTTTTAAAAAAAATCTGAATCTTAATGTTAATTGCATACTAAATCTATTATATATAATATACACAGAGGCTCCACATAACACAAAAAACTATGAAGACAGTGCGGAACGGAACAGTCACATTGACATGACATAAAACGAAGGATAAAAATAGGCAGCAGCCGAAAAAAAAGCTAAGAAAGATAATAATAATAATTTGATCATAAAGATTTCTCATAAGCTTTCAGCGTACACTCCCTGCAAGTGGGGGAGAAGAGGTGGGGGAGAGAGAGAGAGACATTCTGGGATGCTATACTGCTTGAGGGGCACTATATTAATATAAGTTGTTGTTCGAGAGAGTGAGAAAGACAGAGAGAGAGGGAGATTCCTCCCCTCGGTTTAAATCCGCAGCTAATGAGACTCATTGGATGACGGAGCCCCCGGACTATTGCATTTAAATTTAAAGCGTTTATAACTCAATGTTTTTCAAGAGATCAAACAGCAGGTGGCAAAGAAAAATCCCAAGCAGGCTCCTGCAGTTAACACACTGAGACAGGGAGCGGTGGGGGGGGGGGTGTGAGAGAGGATGAGAAATAAAATTCTTGCTCGTTTCTGAAGAGCTCCGCAAAGTGCTGGAAGATTTTTGAGAGACAAATGGGCCTCTGTGACTCGGTTCGAAATCTCTTTAATGGCAAAAGGCTTTTACTTTCCAAAATTATTATTTACTAACTCTAATTGAATGAAACTCAATTGCCTCGCCAAACACGTTTTGAATTGCAAATGCACTCTCTCGAGTCTCCAGGCTGGCCATTTTTCATTTAGCAGAAAGTGCCTCTGCTGTTTTGAAGTCTTGCCATAAATAATAACAGTAGCGACGGAGTCATATACTGGAGAAGGGAGAAAGAGTGGGGGAGGAGTGGGCTTTGGGTACATCCACAGGATGACTACGTGAGAGATTGCAGAGAGTTGCGTTGTAACCACAACAACTTGCATTTAAATAGCGCCCTCCACGCAGGGTAGCATTTCGGAGCGCTTAACAGTGCCCGTTCAGGTGGACATTAAAGATCCCACGGCGCTATTTGAGAAGAGAAAGGAGTTTCTGTCTCCTGGTGTGCTGGCCAACAATCCCCCAAATAAAATTGTCTCTCACTCCATGGTTGTTTGTGGGATGTTGATGCCTGCAAATTGGCTGTGGCATTTGTCTATAAAATACACAGCCACTACATTTTACAGTAAATCCTGTGAAGCGCTTTGAACACGTCACCCTGAGATGAAAGAGGATTATTACTATGAGATAAGATGTGAGATAGGCAACGGTTCTTTGTAGGAGTCCAGCAAGTTGTTGACAAATAATCATTTCTCTCGCGAAATCGTACACCTGGTCATGTTTTTAATCTTCATTATGTAAAACTGTAAAGCCTTTCCCTTTTTTTGTTTTTGAGAATATCCACTTTTTTCAGCCGAGCCAGCGATCATAACTAGGCAATTCCTGGCATTGTAATGGTTGAATTTATAGGTCGTGTCCAATTGCAGATCAAACTCATCGCCGGCCTCATAAATATTCACATGCAATAATTCAAACGTGTAAGTGATAGACACTCATAAAATAAAATTGGTCACTCATTCCTTGGCTGTTTCTGGGACATTGCTGTACAAAATTGTGCTGCTGAGTAATGCACAGTCACTTCATTTCACAGTAAATGATGTGAAGCGCTTTGAGACGTCCCTTCTGACAAGATAAGGCGCTGTACCAAACGCAAGGATTATTATTATTACAAAGAGACTTCTGAATTGGGGGGAGGGAATGGGGAAAGCGGGGGGCGGGTGGGTGGGGAGGGGGAGTATCTGTGACTGGATAAAGCTTTTAACAAAAACTTCCAAGAAAGGTTTTGTCATTTCCTGAGAGGGAAAATGTCAATGGTCTGACCCCAAGCAACAGAACATAATTCCCACAGGCATTGTAACGGAACAGCTGAATGCTCGGCTCTTATCAGAATACATTGTGGCTATTATAATAATAAGCATTAAATCTAACAGCTCATGTCCTGTTGCTGCTTGCACACATCACACTGCAGTCGCACTATCTCGGGAGCATTTGCAATTCAAGAAGAACTTAAAAAATATTCCACAAATCGCTCCTACCCCCTTTTACTCCCAGAAAATGCTGAGGAACAAATTACTCACGGAAACATATTAGATTAAATTGGAAAATGTTAAGCAATTTGGATAATTATGTATGAAGAGGGGCTGGCTTAATTGTGGATTTTCCCACCGGAGTAGAGGAGATTGAGTGGAGATATGGTAGAGGTGTTTAATATATCTGAAGGGCACCACAACCTCAATAAGAATGAACCAATTTTTAGGGAAATCCGTGATAAGGAACCAGGATTAACAGGATCGACTGTATATTTTGTGAGAGAATCACGGCAGCCAATTGCGCACAGTAGTTTCCCACACACAGTTGTGGATTGAATAATAATAAAATAATAATCTTTGCATTTGATATAGCGCTTTTCACGTCTTCTAGAATGTCTCAAAACACTTTGCAGAATATACTGTAAAATAAATTGACTGTATATTTTGTGGCCGAAACGCAGCAGCCAATTGCCACATTATTATTTTTTTGAAAGAATTATTATACCCAGAAAATAAATGGAACACAAAACAAATAAAGATTATGAAATTAAAAGCATTATAATGGATTGGCGATCTTATAGTCTTGAAGATTATAAGGGCTGCATTGACTCTTGACTGTATTTGCAGACAAACGCTTCAACCAATTTGTTCACAGCAATACCCCACAGACAGCAATAATAATAATAATCATAATAATCACCCGGCATTTCGATACAGTGCCTTATCACCTTGTTGAGACTCTCAAATCTTTACAGAATATTATAAAGTAGCTTGAATGTGTATTTTGTGGGCAAAGCATGGCAGCCAATTGTGCACAGCAGTGTCCCACAAACGTGGATTGAGTAACCAAAATTATTATTCTTTTTGGGGAGATTATTACCCACAGAAAACGATCCGCCAATCAACTAACAACCGGGTTCCTACTTACTGCTGGGTAAACAGAGGCGTGAGGAGTAAGGAAACTTGCCAATGGTTTCCTTGTAGTGAAACCTTGTAAGCAATGCAGGAAATGACCAGTTTTACCTGGGGGATTGCTGGCCAGGACACTGGGAGAGAGAATCTCCCTTCTCTATAATCCACACAGAATCTGTCAGGTCCCTGCGATGTTATTGATGCTGAAGTCAGGAGATGTTCCATCTTAGGAAGTGACATCTGAACTATTTAATCACAGTCTGCTTCGCAATCTTTCACCATGCGAAATGTGGGCAATATTTTGACTGCGTTCTGTAGAGCGCTTTCAATGTTAGGAATTTTAATAGCCAACCATTTGAGAAAGAATCGCTCGAGTAAGAGAATAGGGCATAATTGGCAAAATTGCATCCAACTCATCAAGTATTTTCTGTGTGAGAGATAATGCATTGTAAAATACAAATGACATATGTATCTGTCTTGTTCCATTCACGCAAACCCACATCATGTCTTCGAACAGGACGTACGGATGTCAGCAAATTCCATCAATCACAGCTGCACCATGAGTACTTTAACAACATTCATAAAAAAACAGATACGTAATCCATTTTTATCAATTTATTGCCTGTCTCAGCTGGAAAGGGATTGTTTCACACTGGTTTATAGGTACCGTTCGCTGACTCGAGACATCCAATGCTGTGTTTAACATTTTAAGGCAAATTCATTGCTTAAATAAAAAAAACATAACCCAATTCTCTGACCGAAATGACCAATTGTAAGTAACAATAATAATAATAATCCTTGGTATTTAATAGAGGGCCTTATCACGTCCTCGAGATGTCTCAAAGCACTTCACAGAATAGACTACTAAGTGAATTA